CGTATGGAGTGAAGAAATTGTGTCTACAAATGGGAATTTTCAGAATTAAATTCAAAATAAATTATATAAGTGACTCGTAAATTTTCGCTTCTTGTCTAGTCATAGTTTTAATGAAACACTGAATTGTTAGTGCATTTGCTAGATCTTTCATATAACACATCGTTCGGACAACAGATTCATCCACGTTACTTACATTCCACAGTACTTTGTTATTTATAATCTACTTACAAATATTGTAAATCAACTATCAAAAAATATTTCATTACACTAAATTATGTAATTACTCTTTTAAGAACGTCAATTTTCCTACTAATATTTTTAGTATAAATATTTTCAGCAACTATGCCAATGACTATCCTATAATCAATAATCGCTTAACACCTAACAAATAGCAATATTTAAATACTCAAAAGTACAATATGACCTCAAAAAAGTATTTTATTAGATTTAGATTCAATATGTAAAATTCTCTTTTTTATAAAAATGTTATAATATTTTGGAATGGATGGCTGTTCTACACCGATCTACGATTTCTCTATATCCAAAATGCCAGCTCAGGATATTTTCTGCGAAAGCTTTATTAGAAAAAAGGTTTATAACACAAAAAACATCGATGTCAACTAGTGTCTGTCGAAAAACAAAATGGTGGTTCGGTATTTAGGACAGCCAAGGTTTCAACTTCTTTTTTAATGTAGATGCACTTTTTGATGCTTGTATATTCTATAGGATAAAATCTAATCCTAATTCAATACTTACCTAGTTTGTAAGTTTTCATCTACTCTAATTAATATATATAAAAATGCGAATATTATTGTACTTGTGTATCGTGTGTTAGGGTTTCCAATGACGCAATGCTGAGATCACGGTATTAGTATATCCCACCCCCCATTCCCCAGTGCGTTTGTTGCGGGTTTGCGAAGGCGGGATTGTTAGTCCCACAAATCCATTTTAACCCCTTATTTATATACTATTTTTCGCCTAAAAAAAGGGAAAGACCTTTACTAACCTAGGCGTCCATAGGGGAATATCTGACATTGACATATTACCTCTGCCTAGTGTGTAAGCCTGACTGGCCTTTTTCGCTGCGATTTTGTCTCTAAAAAGGCTGTAATTTAGCAGAAAACACATTAGCATTTGTGTTTAAACTACAGATAGATCAAAGTAACTAAACTACATAGAAATCTTAGTTTTTAGGGTTCTTACCCGAAAGGTAAAACTGGAATACCATTGGACTGCTGTATCTCATTAATCGTGAAAGTTAGACAGTTGAAATTTTTACAGTTGATTTTACTCGATACTCTATATTGCTAATGACAACAGGTAGACGTTTGAAATGTTTAAAGAATATGTATTGGGAGGGTGGGGGGTGGGGGGTGCTGAGTGCGGCTGAGAATTCGATCCTGCAATTATCCAGATTGTATATAGGCTGCGGATTGGAAGCTCTACCTTATCTATCCACATGCTTTTGCGTTTTCTATAATTATTATTGGACTTTAGGTCTTTATATGTCCTACTTTCATTTTATTTAGTTGAGGCATTGTGGACCGCAATAATATTCATATCGCATAAAAGTATGTCACAGTAGGTTCCATCTAATATGAATGCTAAACCTTGTTTATTAATAACACTGTTAAAGTTTAAGACAGCTATTCTATTCTGTTATGTATACACCTTCGAGCTCATCGTTGTCATGACAGAACTTCAATTAAATAAAACCTTAATTACTTTTTGAAGTAACTTTTACTTGAGTGAACCTCTATGACATGACAATGCTCGACGAGTTCTAAGCTGTTTTCATAACAGAATAGCACTACAAGTATACATCTGTAAGCCACATTCATTGTAACGTGCTGTACGTACTGAAAGTATTTAATGTTTGTATATTTAAGCAAAATTGAATTCACTTGTTCTTCAACCTTTATTATAAAATTTTAAGACCCGATAGTGCACTTATTATTATATAGTCCAAAAGCTTTTAGAAAGTTAAGATTGTCTATTATAGATGAATAAATCTGTTACATGCTTCAGGACATGTGATTTGGTGCTTAATTTTATAGAATGTTACAGTTTATAAATCGAAACTTAATTTGTCGCGCACGTAAATCCAATAGGCTGTGAAAGTAAATTCACAGACTATAACGAACATTATGGATCAACTCTTTGTCCTAATAGCAATTTACTTTGACCCATCATTAGATCTGAAATCATTTTTCTCGTAAACCAAACGACGTCATAATTGGGTAGTACCTACATAAAAAAGGTTACGCAATTATTTGGATAAATTTAAACGCTTTATTTGCTGTATGAAGATGGGCTAATCTAAATTGCTACTAGGGAATCAAGACGACATTGAACACGTAAATTTTCTCTATTATCTCGAGTGTAGATAATCCCGTTATTATTTCTGATAATTTTCGTCGTAAACTTAAATATTTCATCATTCACATCAGCCCTGCGGTTCTGTAAAAATCCGAGAGGTGTATGTTTATATACAACTTTGTTAATATATTTATACTGTATATATATATTTAATGCGAAATTTTCTTTAACAGACTGCGCTTTGGCGTCTCACGCTCCTCAGGGTTATGGCAGAATATCAGTGATTTGCCTCGTAGGCAAATCGTATCCTGAGCCTTGACCCTTTTGCATTGTTGCAACACACAACCGACATATTTTCTTGTTTTTCATTTGTTTTTTTTTTTTATCTTAATCAGTTGTAAATTAGAATGTGTTGTTGGAATGCAAATAAAGTTTATTATTATTATTATAATCCACTCAGGTGTTCGTATTCATTTCAAAAAGCGGCATCTGCTCAATCTTGAATTATTAGTAACGTATCGTGGCATAAGTGAAGTGAGTTTTAGAAATGAATATCTGAGACACGTATAATCGATCAATTCTGTTTTGTATTTATATACAAAAAAAATGGATTCAATAAGATTTCTACGCTAAATGACGTGAATTCGGACACATGAGTTAATTCAAATTTCGTTCCGATTTTTACAGAATCGCTCTACAGGTGTATAGAGTGGAAATTATAAAGTGAGAAACTGACAGATTTTCCAAATAAATTATATGCCTATATTATATCATAAAAGGTTTGTTTGAGAGGTATATTAATTTTAAAGAGAAAATTGAGTTTTATTGTAACTAGTGTGCTGTATACTGTACACACGCATTGACTTCATCAGCAAATAATAAGGTTTTAAATTGAGTTGATGTTTATGTACACTGGAATTATCCAATATATTTATTAATTTTATAATTAATTTTTATATTATACCTGTAACAGCAGATAATATAGTTTTGAAGGGGTTATTGCACAAATTTCAAATCCTTAAAGTACATATTTACTGCATAAGCCCCACAAATACGTGGCTTTGATTTAATAATTAATGCTGCTTTAGAAATTTATAGAAATTCAAATCATTCACGTAGATTATTAAAATAATTATAATAGCATTTTTATTCTTGTTAATGCACTTTTTATTAATGATATAGTTTTATCGGACCAAAATATATAAAATGTTAATATGTTTGTTTGAGGATTGTTATCAACAAATACACAAAATCATATATTAGTGTTAACAAATGCCTTAATGGACATGCATATTAAGATTTCAAAAATATTGTTATAGAGTAAGGATTAACAATTATTAATAAAATAGTTTCTGCTAAAATATAAATTATTCTAAATATAACCTGAGTTTCATTGTGAAATCCTACTATAGTATTATAAATGCGAAAGTGTGCGATTCTTATATGCGAGTGTGTGTCTAAGTCTCAATTAACATATAGGCTACTTTTAATACCACCCAACAGTTCCCATTTACCACGCAGGCGAAGTCGCAGGCAGAAAGCTAGTCCTTCATATAAATAACTGGATCGCTTTTATCACCATGTCTATTAATAAGTTAGATGCAGTTTTTAACACTAATGGTGCAAGGCGGTGGCCCACATCGCCCACTCGCGGTGTTGCAGTTTAAAAAGTATGGATGAAATTAAAAGGAAAAATGGGCAGCAAAAATCACAGAGATTAAAAACCTACATATGTATTAATAATGTTTTATTACTGCCTGTAAAATGATGATTCCTTGTGATTAACGCTTATTTATAGAAAAGAACTCCTAAAAACAAATAAAAAAAAATTAAGGTAGTGCGCCCCAATGGTATTCATTGTTGCAATAGAATTTTTCAAGGGCTTTTAACGTTTCATCATAGGAATATACAAAGCCCCTACTTAATGAAAAATAATACTGGCTTGTAATCAACTCTTTATTTCATAACAACTGAAATTAGATGTTTGTATGTAATTATATACAAATTAGAAAAAATAACTTTTATTACTTATGTGATATGGTTCATACAATTATTTCTTTCTGATGAAATTTAAGAAAATATATGGACATGTATAATATTCAGTCTAGTATTATAAAGGCAACCTTACACCTAACCTAATTCGAATATACAGTAGACCCGCGATTTTCAGATCCTGTCTTATCAGGCATTCTCTGTATCCCTACATGCCTAACAAATTGTACAATATTGGCGAATCTTCTAACTTACACCCAGTTTCTGTATAGAGTTTCAAAAGTTTAGCACAAGCACATCTCAAACTATACTTAAATGTCATTTTAGTTTTTTTTAATGATCTGTTAATAGCCATTTTATAAAACTGTTTGCCTTGTGGAAAGTAAAAAACTTAAGTTATTGAGAATAATCATTAGAGATTTTACACTTTTCATAATACAGAAACAGGTCGAAAGATTTTTAGTGCTTATATCGACACTGGAAAGCAAACAAGTAGTAACCTGCAAAACCAAAATGGCTTCTGCAGGTATGTACCCACGTGGGGCACCACGCGTCTGCTGCGCCACTCCCCCCACGCGCGCCCGCTGCTGCAGGTATGTACCCACGTGGGGGACCACGCGCCTGCTGCGCCACTCCCCCACGCGCGGGGTCCACGCGCCTGCACTACTAACACTACGAAATGGATTGTGATGAAATTAAGAAAACAGGTGCTTAGGAAGGATAATAGGTTAGCGGATACCTAGTTACTGTATTTAACTAACAATCATATGATCACAAGTACATTATTAACACAATTATTTTATTTTGTTTTTTTTTTCTAACTTAACCAAGAAATTTGACTTATTTATTCGATGAACGCAAGCCGAATAACGATTTATAATCTGATATTAGTAAATCAATACAATAAATTAATCAATTTACTTTAATACCATTTTGTTCGTGACATTACAATCTATTATATTTGTTTGTTCAGGTGGACGGATGCATCGCCAGCTTGGTTAACATGCTGGTAGTGTGCCACGCTGTGATGCAGAACGAAGCTATACTTGCCTTAACACTATTAGCGATGGAGTCGTTGAATAAATCGCCGGTAGACGACCCCGATGACTTCGACTGCGAGGAGAGCTTTATCTCTCAGCTGATAAAGTCGGAAATAGGTAAGCACGTCGCGGTGTTGATAGATACGAACTGTGCTAAAATGCCGATAGAAGTAGCGGAGAATCTGCTAGCGTTCCTCGATATAACGTCGAAAAAGAACGATATCGCTCTCGATTATAAAAACGCTAAAGTGCATGAATCATTGAAAAAGTTCAACGATGCACGGAAAGACTTCAGTGACGACCTAAAAGTCTGCATCGGCAGCGTGGCGAACGTCATATCAAACAATTGTTAGACACAATTTTCATAGTATAAAAGAGCATATTTCAACTGCCATATTACTCTGTAGGAACTGACATCCTATAAAACTACAACCACGGCTGACTTTCCTCATAAAATTTTCCAATTACTTCATTAATTTACAATTTTACTGTAATAAACTGATGATTGATATGAATAATAAACAGTTTTAGAAATGTTATTTGATTCTACAACGGTCGCCGAACAGAATTTCGTACATATTATCTATCTTTTTCACTCGTGCGCAAACTATTTTGCTCGCACATATCGCACGTTGAGAACGATAGTGACACAATGCAAAAAATGCGGTTTTGAATAATGAGCGTTTAAAGTTCAAGAAATTGTAAGCAGCCCCTCTAAACAACGTATCGTCACTACGCCACCTAGCAGTTTCTATGCAAGCTACATTTACAGGGATCTTTGCATTTTAAAGTTTATACTTAACAAAGGAAAATGTTGTCAAAAGTAAAAAATATGTCGTTTTTGCTCAGTGACATTGTCATTCTCAACGTGCGATATACATTTAACCAATTTTGTCACAGTATAGTGAACCTAAAATGTTTATCATATCTCTCAAAATTCAGAAGGCACAAAGGTCAACGTACGAAATTCTTTCTGTTCGGCGACCGTACTATAGATCTGTTTATATCTGTAACATACTTGGTGTTATATCACTTCAATGAATTCTTTGTATACTTACCATCAACTCGACATACAACATGAAGCTTGAATTCAGTTACACACAAAATTCAAGTCTCATTTTGTGTGTGTTGACGTTACATTAATGACGTATGGAGTGAAGAAATTGTGTCTACAAATGGGAATTTTCAGAATTAAATTCAAAATAAATTATATAAGTGACTCGTAAATTTTCGCTTCTTGTCTAGTCATAGTTTTAATGAAACACTGAATTGTTAGTGCATTTGCTAGATCTTTCATATAACACATCGTTCGGACAACAGATTCATCCACGTTACTTACATTCCACAGTACTTTGTTATTTATAATCTACTTACAAATATTGTAAATCAACTATCAAAAAATATTTCATTACACTAAATTATGTAATTACTCTTTTAAGAACGTCAATTTTCCTACTAATATTTTTAGTATAAATATTTTCAGCAACTATGCCAATGACTATCCTATAATCAATAATCGCTTAACACCTAACAAATAGCAATATTTAAATACTCAAAAGTACAATATGACCTCAAAAAAGTATTTTATTAGATTTAGATTCAATATGTAAAATTCTCTTTTTTATAAAAATGTTATAATATTTTGGAATGGATGGCTGTTCTACACCGATCTACGATTTCTCTATATCCAAAATGCCAGCTCAGGATATTTTCTGCGAAAGCTTTATTAGAAAAAAGGTTTATAACACAAAAAACATCGATGTCAACTAGTGTCTGTCGAAAAACAAAATGGTGGTTCGGTATTTAGGACAGCCAAGGTTTCAACTTCTTTTTTAATGTAGATGCACTTTTTGATGCTTGTATATTCTATAGGATAAAATCTAATCCTAATTCAATACTTACCTAGTTTGTAAGTTTTCATCTACTCTAATTAATATATATAAAAATGCGAATATTATTGTACTTGTGTATCGTGTGTTAGGGTTTCCAATGACGCAATGCTGAGATCACGGTATTAGTATATCCCACCCCCCATTCCCCAGTGCGTTTGTTGCGGGTTTGCGAAGGCGGGATTGTTAGTCCCACAAATCCATTTTAACCCCTTATTTATATACTATTTTTCGCCTAAAAAAAGGGAAAGACCTTTACTAACCTAGGCGTCCATAGGGGAATATCTGACATTGACATATTACCTCTGCCTAGTGTGTAAGCCTGACTGGCCTTTTTCGCTGCGATTTTGTCTCTAAAAAGGCTGTAATTTAGCAGAAAACACATTAGCATTTGTGTTTAAACTACAGATAGATCAAAGTAACTAAACTACATAGAAATCTTAGTTTTTAGGGTTCTTACCCGAAAGGTAAAACTGGAATACCATTGGACTGCTGTATCTCATTAATCGTGAAAGTTAGACAGTTGAAATTTTTACAGTTGATTTTACTCGATACTCTATATTGCTAATGACAACAGGTAGACGTTTGAAATGTTTAAAGAATATGTATTGGGAGGGTGGGGGGTGGGGGGTGCTGAGTGCGGCTGAGAATTCGATCCTGCAATTATCCAGATTGTATATAGGCTGCGGATTGGAAGCTCTACCTTATCTATCCACATGCTTTTGCGTTTTCTATAATTATTATTGGACTTTAGGTCTTTATATGTCCTACTTTCATTTTATTTAGTTGAGGCATTGTGGACCGCAATAATATTCATATCGCATAAAAGTATGTCACAGTAGGTTCCATCTAATATGAATGCTAAACCTTGTTTATTAATAACACTGTTAAAGTTTAAGACAGCTATTCTATTCTGTTATGTATACACCTTCGAGCTCATCGTTGTCATGACAGAACTTCAATTAAATAAAACCTTAATTACTTTTTGAAGTAACTTTTACTTGAGTGAACCTCTATGACATGACAATGCTCGACGAGTTCTAAGCTGTTTTCATAATAGAATAGCACTACAAGTATACATCTGTAAGCCACATTCATTGTAACGTGCTGTACGTACTGAAAGTATTTAATGTTTGTATATTTAAGCAAAATTGAATTCACTTGTTCTTCAACCTTTATTATAAAATTTTAAGACCCGATTGTGCACTTATTATTATATAGTCCAAATGCTTTTAGAATGTTAAGATTGTCTATTATAGACGAATAAATCTGTTACATGCTTCAGGACATGTGATTTGGTGCTTAATTTTATAGAATGTTACACGAAACTAATTTGTCGCGCACGTAAATCCAATAGGCTGTGAAAGTAAATTCACAGACTATAACGTACGTTATGGATCAACTCCTTGTCCTAATAGCAACTTACTTTGACCCATCGTTAGATCTGAAATCATTTTTCTCGTAAACCAAACGACGTCATAATTGGGTAGTACCTACATAAAAAAGGTTACGCAATTATTTGGATAAATTTAAACGCTTTATTTGCTGTATGAAGACGGGCTAATCTAAATTGCTACTAGGGAATCAAGACGACATTAAACACGTAAATTTTCTGTATTATCTCGAGTGTAGATAATCCCGTTATTATTTCTGATAATTTTAGTCATAAACTTAAATATTTCATCATTCACATCAGCCCTGCGGTTCTGTAAAAATCCGAGAGGTGTATGTTTATATACAACTTTGTTAATACATTTATACTGTATATATATATTTAATACGTAATTTTCTTCAACAGACTGCGCTTTGGCGTCTCATGCACCTCAGGGTTATGGCAGAATATCAGTGATTTGCCTCGTAGGCAAATCGTATCCTGAGCCTTGACCCTTTTGCATTGTTGCAACACACAACCGACATATTTTCTTGTTTTTCATTTGTTTTTTTTTTAATCTTAATCAGTTGTGAATTAAAATGTGTTGTTGGAATGCAAATAAAGTTTATTATTATTATTATAATCCACTCAGGTGTTCGTATTCATTTCAAAAAGCGGCATCTGCTCAATCTTGAATTAGTGATAACGTCTCGTGGCATAAGTGAAGTGAGTTTTAGAAATGAATATCTGAGACACGTATAATCGATCAATTCTGTTTTGTATTTTTATACAAAAAAAATGGATTCAATAGGATTTCTATGCTAAATGACGTGAATTCGGAGACATGAGTGAATTCGAATTTCGTTCCGATTTTTACAGAATCGCTCTACAGGTGTATAGAGTGGGAGTTATAAAGTGAGAAACTGACAGATTTCCCAAATAAATTATATGCCTATATTATATCATAAAAAGTTTGTTTGAGAGGTATATAAATTTTAAAAATAAATTTAGAGAAAATTGAGTTTTATTGTAACTAGTGTGCAGTATACTGTACACACGCATTGACTTCATCAGCAAATAATAAGGTTTTAAATTGAGCTGATGTTTATGTACACTGGAATTATCCAATTTATTTATAAATTTTATGATTAATTTTTATATCATACCTAACAGTAGATAATTTAGTTTTGGTGGGGTTATTGCACTTTCAAATCCTTAAAGTACATATTTACTGCATAACCCCCACAAGTACTTGGCTTTGATTTAATAATTATTGCTGCTTTAGAAATTTATAGAAATTCAAATCATTCACGTAGATTATTAAAATAATTATAATAGCATTTTTATTCTTGTTAATGCACTTTTTATTATTGATATAGTTTTATCGGACCAAAATATATAAAATGTTAATATGTTTGTTTGAGGATTGTTATCAACAAATACACAAAATCATATATTAGTGTTAACAAATGCCTTAATGGACATGCATATTAAGATTTCAAAAATATTGTTATAGAGTAAGGATTAACAATTATTAATAAAATAGTTTCTGCTAAAATATAAATTATTCTAAATATAATCCGAGTTTCATTGTGAAATCCTACTATAGTATTATATATGCGAAAGTGTGTGTCTAAGTCTCAATTAACATATAGGCTACTTTTAAAACCACCCAACAGTTCCCATTTACCAAGCGGGCGAAGTCGCAGGCAGAAAGCTAGTCCTTCATAATAACTCGCTTTTATCACCATGTCTATTAATAAATTAGATGCAATTTTTAACACTGATGGCGCAAGGCGGTGGCCCACATCGCCCACTCGCGGTGTTGCAGTTTAAAAAGTATGGATGAAATTAAAAGGAAAAATGGGCAGCAAAAATCACAGAGATTAAAAACCTGTATATGTATTAATAATGTTTTATTACTGCCTGTAAATGATGATTCCTTGTGATTAACGCTTATTTATAGAAAAGAACTCCTAAAAACAAATAAAAAAAAATTAAGGTAGTGCACCCCAATGGTATTCATTGTTGCAATAGAATTTTTCAAGGGCTTTTAACGTTTCATCATAGGAATATACAAAGGCCCTACTTAATGAAAAATAATACTGGCTTGTAATCAACTCTTTATTTCATAACAACTGAAATTAGATATTTGTATGAAATTATATACAAATTAGAAAAAATAACTTTCATTGCTTTTGTGATATGGTTCATACAATTATTTGTTTCTGTTGAAATTTAAGAAAATATATGGACATGTATAATATTCAGTCTAGTATTATAAAGGCAACCTTACACCTAACCTAATTCGAATATACAGTAGACCCGCGATTTTCAGATCCTGTCTTATCAGGCATTCTCTGTATCCCTACATGCCTAACAAATTGTACAATATTGGCGAATCTTCTAACTTACACCCAGTTTCTGTATAGAGTTTCAAAAGTTTAGCACAAGCACATCTCAAACTATACTTAAATGTCATTTTAGTTTTTTTTAATGATCTGTTAATAGCCATTTTATAAAACTGTTTGCCTTGTGGAAAGTAAAAAACTTAAGTTATTGAGAATAATCATTAGAGATTTTACACTTTTCATAATACAGAAACAGGTCGAAAGATTTTTAGTGCTTATATCGACACTGGAAAGCAAACAAGTAGTAACCTGCAAAACCAAAATGGATATTTAGAGTGGAAAAGCTTTATATTAAAAAAAAAAAAACATTTCTGTATAAAAAACTAAAGTTTTTCTCCTCTGAAGAACAATTTTGGTTTTGCGGGTTACTACGTGTTGGCTTTCCAGCGTCGATATGTAAATTTGATTTAATGTATATATTCCATAATGCTAATAAGTATTCTTTAAGGTTTATAGAACTACCCCTTTACTCTCTAAGCAACCTATCGACATTACAATTGTGTAAGTTTGTGCTCTTGATTGAGTATACTAGCACCAGAGTATGCTAGTGAACCAATCAAAGTGAGAAGCAGCACAATTGCCACATCGATCGGTCACGATTGCACGTTCGAGAGTAATCATGCTGATGCTGTTAGTATAATAATTAAAATATAGAGGATATTAGCATTACTGTATAATCTAATTCGATAATACGCCACATTGCTCTGCAAAAAGCTCTGATAACTACAGATCCACTTTACGTATATCATGATTTTGGCAGTGCCTCGGTGTGCTTTTACTTATTATGAAGTCTCATCTAAGTTTGTGTACGACCTTTCCTCTATCATGGTAGAGTGTTGTGTGATAGTCATTCTGAATCTGAGCTCTTCATCTTCTATTAGGTGTTGTTTCTGAATAGCAGTTCTGTTACCACAACCAGCCACTGAAATTGAATGTTTATTGTACTTACAACTAAAAAAATGTGAATTCTTTGTGGTAATCAGTTTTTGATTTTTTTAAATTATTTTATGATTTTTAAAATTTGAAATGGTATGTATTTGAGGTGATTGCTCAATGACTCGAAATGGAATTTATATTCATATTCATTATTACATCAGAATTTACAAATAAATAATAAAGACTTCATTATATTTTGATTAATTATGCATTCACAATACCATACTGAAATAGTACATTACGATATTAGTGCGTTATGATGGTTATAACATGCGAAGCGGAATTTCAGCCCGAACCGAAGGCGAGGGCGTAATTGAGCCGAGCATGTTATAACCAATACGCACGTATATCGTACGACGTTTTTTAACACATTTGCGAGGAAACAGAAAAAAAACATTAAATAAACTCAATTTGTGAATGTATACTGTTGCTTTCCCGCCATTTTAACAACGCGCTGACTGGCGCCGTGCGACGATTAGTTCGAAATTTGAATAGCAACAGCGCGCGAAATGGCAAATAATACTGTTATGGAATTTGTATGGACTATAACTTAACTATTTGCTTTGGTAACAAACGCGGTTTTTATGACCCGCTTTACATATTTAAAACAGGTGGAATTACATCAGCTTTACGAGCAAAGGTGTTAAAAATTATTCTTAATACAAAATGCTTAAAAAATCCACTTAGTCCCTGGCACCCTGAGATGGGAATCGAACCCACGACCTTTCTCATTCCGGGCGACTACTCTAACCACTGAGCTACCCAGGACCTACCTGGGACCAAGTGGATTTTTTAAGCATTTTGTTTTAACAATAAAGACTTCATACCTGGACATTTAGTTGAGCTTTTCATTTTTAACAAATTCATTATAGATTGTTTCTCATAAATATGTCCACATACTGTATTTTTTACTGGATCCACAATCACTTTTTTTGTAATTGGATCAATCTGTAAACAAATGAATGACAGACAATTAACTTGCTTAGAAAGTAAATTATTTACAAAAAAAAATATATTATTAGGTACCTATAACGAAACTTACATATCTATCCTGTGATTCGGTGATTGCTAAATCTGAATCTTCTAAGTTTTCTGAAAAAAAAAAAATATAGATATATATCTTTTTTATAAATTAAATTCCATCCAGCAGAATAACTTACTAGTGCTGTATTCTAAAGATAACTTTGTTGTGTAAAAATGATAACTATTTTATTATATAATCTGCTAATAAACTATTATTATTTACACCTCCTAAAACACAACCATTTACCATCTTTACTGAAAATTACCTTTTACTTTTTGCCTTTACTCACAGTGAAACTATTAATTTACACACAGACATTGTTAAGTCACACACTATTCTCACTGAGGTAAAATTACACATCTAGTGATGTGTAATATTTCAAAATGTAGCTTTGTTACTTAATTATGTATGTTAAATAAATAACACTTATTTTATATAGTGTAATTAAGTCTTGAAATAAAGTCAGGTTAAAATTTTCTAAAAGTTACCCATGTGCGATTTGATACAATGACAGTTTAATACACTACCCCTATGCAATTCGGACCATACAATGATGATTTGCTATGGTTAGTTTCATTTATAATGGAGAAATATTATTTCGTCAATAAGGTATGAATCGTATTAATTTATTTCCACAATTACGAGTCTATACATAAAAACCTTTATTTTAATGCATTAATTTATAAACTAGCTTCACAATTATCTTGAGTTTTAACAGCTAATAAAACCTCAAAACATTATTTATGCATTACATTGCATATTTATGCATTCCATATTAAATTATCAACAATGGAAACCATACACAATCTTTAAAAAAAAATTGTAACAATTCAATCAATGTATGGAAAGTTTATGATAGTTTTCAATAGAGATCAATCATTCAGACATGAGTTTTATAGTATAAGGTTTTATTGTGGCTGTTTATGTATCAATCACAGCATCATCAATAAATCAATAAACACATCATATGTAGAGATTATAGCAATAATAACAAATAATGTTAGTAGTTTAAACTTACGTCTAGCTTGCTGCTGCCCTTTCTCTATTCTTTTATTAAGTTCAATCATATAAGGATGATTTTTTACATTTAGCTTTTTGCCGGCCATACTAGCTAAATTTGCTTTGAATCTTTCGTCTAGTGTATCCAGATTAGAGTTATCAGTTTCATTCTAAAAAAAATAAGTTACAATAACATGAAGAAACAGTAATCAAAAAGAAAGGTGAGCTATATGATTTTACTTTTGCTCTTTCTAATGCTTGAATTGCGACGTCTTGTTGGGCTTCTAGAAGACAGTAACCTTCTACATAAGACTTGAGTTTGTTGAATTCAGCTTCTTTTTCCTCGTCTAAATATTTTGATACGTTGTCTGAACATAAATACAGACTAGTGATACATTGTTTTCTCAATTCTGCTAGATCGGAATCAGACATTGTTAGGAAATTCAGAAACACAAATTCTAAACAAACAACAACTGATAACAACAATAATCTCGAAACCTCGAGTAAAAGTGGTCTATGACAATAATTACACAAAATTTCGCAAAATAAGCGCCCAAATCTTATCTTGACATTGACAATTGACATTGACTGATAGCAATCAAAGAGTAGTTTGGCAGGGATGGGCAGGGACCACCGCCATCTTTCATTTATTTCATTTTACTTGTTCTTTTTCTTTTATTAATAAATTAAATAACCCATATATATTGTAGCGATGAAAAGTATGGATGAATAGCTATGACTCCAAATAGAAACGCCTTACATCCAATAATCAATTTATTGCTTACTTCACAAGGTGAATCCTTAAGCTAGTGTCCGCATCGATTATATTCAATGAACATACGAAGTTGTACAATTAAAAATTTTCTATTTAAAATTATATTGACAAGCAACCGCCGTAGTCGATAGAAAAATCAAGAGTATATTATATATAATATATGAAAGAGTAAAAATAATAGATACTGACTGGTCAATGAATAAACTCTATAAACTAGTGTTCAAGGAGTAAATCTGCTAATGTATATAAGTGTATATAATATGTTGGGAGAAGCCCACATCACTCCCCCCCAAAGGCCCGGTTAGGGACGATAATGATTTGGAAACCGCACATGCCTTCCATAACGCGTAACTTTAGTTAAATTTGTCATGGAAGGAGTGCGTGAAGGTAGTTGCGTTACCACCTTTGGAGACGAGAGAACAGAGTTTGAATTCTCATCGTCAGTTAATATGAAAGCAGGTTTAATGCGATCTATGCTAACAGTCACTTTACTACCTTTAATAAGAATTGTAAACGTTTTATCCCCCCGTGATAAAACTTTGTGTGGACCTGTGTATGCAGGCTGGAAAGGCGCACGCGAAGCATCTTCACGCAGGAAAACATGGTCCGCGGTTGCTAATTCCTTAAAAATAAATACCTTGCCTTTACAATGACGAGAAGCTGGCATAGGCTGTAATCTTTCGGCAAAAGAATGTAGCCGTGCCGTAAAATCTGACAAGTCAGTAGTGCCGTTAATGCTAGAGTTGAAAAATTCTCCGGGAAGTCTTAGCGGCTCGCCGTATAGTAACTCGGCAGAGGAAGCTTGCAAGTCCTCCTTGAAAGCGCTTCGAACGCCTAGTAGGACAAGCGGTAGACTTTCAGTCCAATTGACGTCAGCGTGGCAAGTGATAGCTGCTTTTAGCTGCCTATGAAAGCGCTCAATGAGTCCATTACACGCGGGGTGATATGCGGTGGTACGCTTATGCTGGAATCCTATGAACTTTGCAAGATATTGAAACAGCGCCGATTCAAATTGTCGACCACGATCTGTGACAATATCTATTGGACAACCAAATCTAGATATCCAACTCATAATAAGAGCCTTAGCTACAGTTTCAGCTGTGATATCGGTGATTGGAACTACTTCAGGCCACCTGGTAAATCGGTCAATGGCCGTCAAACAATATCGGTATCCGTTTGAGACAGGAAGAGGACCTATCAAGTCGATATGCACGTGTTTAAATCGTGCTCGAGGAAGATTGAAGTTTCCTACAGGCGCAGAGACGTGTCTCGTTATCTTTGAACTCTGACACTGTAAGCAGCCTCGAGTCCAGTCCCTAATATCTTTTCGAACTCCAGGCCAAACGAAACGTTCGGTTACCAATTTCACAGTAGTACTGGTACCTGGATGACTTAAGGAATGCAGAATATTGAAAATTTGCTTGCGAAATTCCTTTGTAACGAATGGCCTGGGAGTCGTTGTACTAACATCGCAGTACAAGGATGTACGACTTCCAGGTAAAGTTAATTGTTGCAAGCGCAGCGAAGAAGTATTCGATACATACTCGGCCAGTTCAGGATCACCTAACTGAGATCGTGCCAAATCTTCAAGATTGATTGGTCTCTCCAATGCTTCGACCCGAGATAAGGTATCGGCGACTACGTTATCCTTGCCAGATATGTGCCTTATATCGGTCGTAAATTGGGAAATATAATCTAAATGTCGGTGTTGACGAGGCGAACAGTTAAGTTTCTTTTCATTGAAACTATAACTGAGTGGCTTGTGGTCTGTAAACACTGTGAAGTGTCTTGCCTCCAACATATGCCGGAAATACTTGATAGCCTCATAAATGGCAAGAAGCTCTCGGTCATAAGGCGAGTATTTCGCTTGAGATGGACTAAGCTTTCTAGAAAAGAACGCTAGTGGTTGCCACTTACCTTCATGCAACTGTTGAAGCACCGCTCCCATGGCTAAATCTGACGCGTCTGTCACCAGTGCTAACTTTGCTCGACAATCTGGATGAGCGAGCATTGTAGCATGAGCTAAGCTTTCCTTGGTCTCTTGGAAAGCCTTCAGAGCATCACCTGTGAGGTTGATGGGAGACGTACCTTTAACTGCCCCAGTAAGTAGCGCATTAAGAGGAGCTTGTATAAGAGCAGCGTTAGGCAAAAATCGCCTATAAAAGTTTGCCATACCCAAAAATCCTCTCAATTGCTTGACAGTTTTGGGTGGTGGGAAGTCACGAATAGCTTGAACTTTCGTATCCAAAGGCGTGGTACCGCTCTCTGAGATACGATAACCTAGAAAAGTTACTTCAGGAACTCCAAATACACACTTGGATACATTTATAACCATGCCGTATTCTTTAAGTCGATTGAACAATTGGCGTAGGTGGTGTTCATGTTCTATTTCATTTCTAGAATAGACTAGAAAATCGTCAAGGTAACAGTATACGAAATCTAGTCCACGTGTCAATTCATCAACGAACCTTTGAAACGTTTGGCCAGCATTACGCAGACCAAACGTCATAAACGGAAATTCATACAAACCAAATGGTGTTGTGATGGCTGTCTTGGGTATGTCCTCCGGATTGACAGGTATCTGATTATACGCCTTCACTAAATCTATGGTGCTAAATATTTTACAGCCAGCAATAGAATGCGTGAAGTCATGAAGGTGTCTAATCGGATATCTGTCAGGTATAGTTCGTGAGTTGAGTCGCCTATAGTCCCCACAGGGTCTCCATCCATTGTCTTTTTTAGGAGCCAGGTGTAGGGGTGAAGACCATGAACTATCGGAAGGTCTGGCTGTGCCATTAGCTAGCATAGCCTCGAATTCATGTTTGGCAACTTTAAGTTTATCTGGAGCCAAGCGTCTCGGCATGCTTGAAACAGGTGGACCTGGTGTTGTGCGAATGTGGTGTTGTGTGTTATGTGGTATGATTCTGTGTGTGCCAGCTGGTCGCGTTATTTCGGGAAATTCCTTATTAAGCAAGGTATGATAGCGTGATTCACCAGTCAATACCTTAACAGAATGAACACAATCATTTGAGGCAAACAGAGCGGAAGCAGAAAGGCTAGTTGTATTGTCTACAAGTTTTCGGTTTCTGCAATCTACCATTAAATTATAAAAAGATAAAAAATCAACTCCTACAATAGGCTTTGTAACATTCGCAACAACAAAACGCCAAGGATAATCTCTACGTAAATTAAAATCTAGGTTAAGATGGTAGTAACCGTAGGTGTCAATGGTCGTCCCGTTGGCTGCGCAGAGCTTGTAGGAAGTTGGAGCACGACGTTCACGCAGAAGGGTCCGGGGGAAGACACATAAATCGCTGCCAGTGTCGATCAAAAATTGTATCTTCGACTTCCTATCAGTGACAAACAGGCGACCAGAGGGTGGGCTATCAGCTGTCGCCATCACTGACTGCCCTTTGCGTTTCCCGCCTTCTCATAGTCACAGGGCTTAATACACCTAAGGGCTTTATCGCCGTGCTTAGAGTGGTACCAGCAAGTTGGGTATTTCCGGTACGAAGACTGCGATCTGGTAGATGATTTCTCACGACGTTCACTTTGACGACTGCGTGACCTTGGTCTTCTACTATCTCGTTTGTCTCCCATAGGCATACTCTTAATGAGACGACGTAATTCGGCGATTTCTTTAGCCATGGCATCCATCATTGAGCTATAGTCGTGACTAGTTGATGCAACTTGAGGTGTAGATGGGACTATATCGTGAATACGATCGGCAAGATCGGCGAGTGTTTCCAAGTCTGCAGTAGGTTGAGCAGCCAGTACAGTCTGTATATTTCTGGGAAGACGGCTGGTCCAAATAGTACGAAGAAAGTCGTCCGTTATCTGATGACCAGCGAGGCTTTGCAGGTGACGGAGGAACTGTGATGGTTTGCGATCTCCGAGTTCCTCGTGCATGAGAAGCTGTTGCACCTTCTTCTCCTTGGAAGCGCTCAATCGCTTAATGAGCTCAGTCTTCAGCTTTTCGTAGCGATCGCTAGATGGAGGTTTCGCGATAATGTCCTTAACTTCGCATAAGAATTGACGGTCAAGTTGTCCAATGACGTAATGAAATTTCGTCAAGTCGTTAGTGATACCTGCGATTTGGAACTGTCCCTCAATTTGTGAAAACCATATTTCGGGTTCCTCCGGCCAAAAAGGCGGAATCCGTACTCCCACTTTAAAAATGTCGGATGACGATTGTGCAGTGGAAATGTGCTCACCGACGTCACGCTCAGCGTTGTTATTGCTAATCGACATCTTGTCACTTCGTATGCGTTATTTATTATTGAATATTATTTATTCTACGTACTGTTTTCACCAGCGCCGGTTCTTGTGTCCAAAGTGGGTCACCAATGTAGCGATGAAAAGTATGGATGTATAGCTATGACTCCGAATAGAAACGCCTTACATCCAATAATCAATTTATTGCTTACTTCACAAGGTGAATCCTTAAGCTAGTGTCCGCATCGATTATATTCAATGAACATACGAAGTTGTACAATTAAAAATTTTCTATTTAAAATTATATTGACAAGCAACCGCCGTAGTCGATAGAAAAATCAAGAGTATATTATATATAATATATGAAAGAGTAAAAGTAATAGATACTGACTGGTCAATGAATAAAATCTATAAACTAGTGTTCAAGGAGTAAAAATGCTAATGTTTATAAGTGTATATAATATGTTGGGAGAAGCCCACATAAAAGGAACGGAAATTACTGTCTTTGGTCCATTCGTTTCCTGCAAAAATCAACTTTTGTTAGAGTCGCCTCTAGTGGGGGTGCTTTTTTAGTGCTTTCTTTATGCGCATACAAGTACTCTTTGTGCGCATATGTGCATTCGAATTTTCCTAACTTTCGTCCGTAAGTAGGACTCGTGCCTTCTGCACCCCGAGCGCAGGCCCTGCTGACTTATTATTATACAAATCAGTAAGACCTGACTCAATTTCTGTTACTTGAGTCGGTTGATACTACGGTGACATCAAACGTCTTTTTTAGTACTCGTTTCTTATCTGTCTAGTCGACTAAGGTAGGTGTGATGGAAAGAGATGCGAGTGAGACACCAACGCCTTCCTCTCGCCCCCTCATTTAATGGTCCCCAAAATAACTTGATCGACGACCTGCGTCGACTCATGCCCACAAGTCACTTTAACCTATAAGTTTCTTCGATTCAAACGGTTTTGGAGTCCTGACGTCACCCTCTCCCACGCCTTCAGTCATGGAGTGTGAAAGCACTTCCATCAAGAGAACCGCTGCTCCCCTTCACCGTCAGACGACGACCTTCTCAGGTCATCGGACACTGACGAAACAATTTACTCGTTTTTTAAGGTACAGAACCGCAGGAAGCATCATAAGTCATGCTCTCCTAGAGCTAAGGCCGACATACTCACTTACTCCCAGACACATCAAGTCAATTTTTATTGATGGAGTGTCCTCGATAAGCAATACCATAGATACCTACCAGAGAGAAAACCTCTCTCAGACGTTTACTTCTTTTTACACTGGCATCTTGGGCGATCACGAGTGATAATTTTATCCGATTTATCCACAATATACAAGCTTTGTAAGCCTTTTTAAAATCAAATCTGTCAAGGTATTGAGTATAAATAAAACAAAATTTTATTGAACATCTTTATAATAATAATTTATACTGGATTATACATATATATTATGATGAATTTATCAAATATTTTATTTTTAGATTTTAACATAGGATTTTTTTTTTAAATTTCTTATCTATACGATAAAAATATGAAAAAAATACGATGTCTACACCCCTATTGGTAAATCTATACTATACAGTAACGCCGACGTGTCCGAGCGCGGCGGACAATTGTTTGAGCTGCATCCGCATATCGGCCGGTGAGAGTCCACGACGAGCGCCTATCACTTTGAACGCATTCAAGTACTCTAGTTCCGAGAACTGGGCTCCCTTCTCGCGGACTGATGATATTATCTCCTGAAGATATAAATAAATATTAGACAACAGTTAAATAGGTTATATCGCCTTGACATATTTGCCGGCATGTGACGTCACAAATACCACGTGATCAGCGCCATTACATAGAGTAGTGTTTTTGGATTTTAAAATTTTAACGATTATTTTCATCAAAAATAGAACAGATTCTCTTGAAATATATTGACAGTGTATTTATAATGTTTCAAACAAGCATTTAAAATATTTTTCGGAAAACAGTCAAATAATAATAAATGTCAGGAGTAAGGATTCTCCTAAGACCCCTTCCAGCAGGAGGCCCGTAGCATTTAGCCCACTTGCCGCCAGTAGTCACGCCACTGTCCAACACCCACTTGTCCGGTCCCGGTCGCGCTGCACAAGGCGGTGTACACACCTCCGGCGTGGCGGCGAGCAGGTGCAGGTAGTCGTGCGCGCGGTGCAGCCCGTGGTGCGGCAGCTGCAGCGCGGCCAGCGCGTGCCGCAGCGTCGCCAGCCGCGCCTCCGCCCCGCCCCCGCCCCCGCCCCCTACCGCGCCCCCACACCCGCCCGCGCCCTGCCACCGCCACACCACGCCCGCGGACATCATCTCGCCCAGACCGCCGAATACGTACTGAATGGAGATGGAAATAACTGCTTAAAATTTTTAAGCGTTGTTACGTTGTACGATTTTTATTAAGCGTTTTTAAAACCTACTTATTGTTTAAACGCTTTTTCTTTTCAACTGTCCTTTGGATATCGTTATAATAAGCTTGCAACGTTGTGTTATCACCACAAAGTATAAAACAAAGTCGCGTTCTCTGTCCCTATATCCATATGTATGCTTAAATCTTTAAAACTACGCAAAGAATTTGGATGCGGTTTTTTTTCATAGATAGGGTGATTCAAAAGGAAGATGTTTGTGTATAATACAAGATCACAATACTATTACCGTTTCTCAACATTTTATTTACACCATCTTAAAACTTAAATAGCAATTTATTTACGCATACAATTCAACTTACACAATTAATTAACATTCAACACAACGTGCACTTACTTCAACAACGAAAAGCGTACTGCTTTTTTAAGTATTAGTTCCGTTCAAAAAAGCGTTTGGATTAACCAACCAAAAAAGTTGTTGCAAAAAGTGTAGATGGATATAACGCGTAATAGTATAAGACAGGTTTATGTAAAGTGCTGCCCTCTAATAGAAAAATGCCAAAACAGAAAAATTTATTAAAGCTAGTAGTTATATCTTGATAGATGGCGGAAAGTACAATAAGCATAAGCATACTTTTCTTCTAAGTAATAAAGCGCTTTTGCACTTATTTAGAAAAGCATGCTCAATTAAGTGCTTTTCGTTTAAACGTCCATCTTTAGTACTGAAATACGTCGCCCTATCGATGAACCACTACGCGGCACATCCGCCCATCGGCACATCTGATGTTCGAGGAAGGTCCCCGTTCACATCCTCCCCGTTTAGGTGGGATCTTTTCCGTCGATAGCCTCGGATATCCTCTGGGCATTCGTGGCCGCAAAAAAAGTGTTTCTTTTGTATTACCAGCGTCACAGTCTCGAATCTGAATTCCTTACCAGGGTATTGAACACGGAAAAAGAAATTGTTTTGGAGGCGTCAACAAAAAAACAATTTAACGATGAACCGACCACACGAAATAGACTTTTTAATACAGTTGCTCAAAAAGTGGCGTATTGCAGGGACGTATAGCGTTCGGGATGTGGGCTATTACACACTCGTGTTTTTTTTACCTTACCCGCACTTGTGCGTTCTCTTTCCCAACTGTCATCAAAGAAGTTTCTATGATTCATGTAAATACGTAGCGTAGGTATTTTTCTAAAAAAAGCTACTAATTTGTATCGATATCAAATTTAATGATTTGATTGCATTAGTGAGGTAAGGTTTCATTTCTTTAAATCTCATTAAATTTCATTTTCATTTCATATCAATAAAAAATCTACTGAAGACTATGTATGTATGGGCATAGTTCCCTTTGCCTACCAGGATGGGTGAAGAACAAATGGCGCCATTTTCCAGAAATTTTATTTGCGAGTTTAGTTGTTTGTTACACAAAATGTGTTTGTTATGAAAAGCTATATTGGTGATTCATTAAACAACAAACTAGAAACTGGGAAAAAAATTACACAATCCATTAATTTAAAGTCCTGCCCGTCTCCTTCATACGTTGAAGAGAACGTTCGTCCATCTATCGACGTTGATAATTATAATTCATCAGATCCAGTTCCATCAACTAGCAAACGCTTTATATGACAAATATACATGAACAATCATACGAAATTACTAATAGTTTGTCTCAAACAGTAAATGTGACAATTTCAATGTTTATGTGAATTATAACTTTTATAAACAATAAATGATTACGATTAGTTAGTTGGGTTTATTTTGTTTTTATTATTTTATTAAATTACTTAATTTTTTCGCAACTGCATTAAAAATAGTCATTCAGTACACGAGCGGAACCGTCATTGCAACTCGTCCGACTGTCAACCCTTGCCTTCGGCTGCGCCTAGGCAAGGGTCTCGGCTGGATATTTATCGGAACTCGTTGCAATGACAGCCTTTCTGCACTCGTTGCAATGACACTTTCTTTCTGTGAGACAAGACTCGATGGCAAAGCTTTAGTAAAGCAGTAATTTTGATGCAATGTCACAAGAAAAACCATGCGCCGTTTTATTAATATTTTCTTTGATTCTATCGTAACGAAATTAGAAGAGCATATAAATTTTAATAAAATAATTAATGTCACGTTAATTCGCACGAGAAATACAAACATTCACAGAATACATCCTTTTTTGGGCAGTCATATAAAACAAAGTAAAAGTGAGCCTGACCGCCAGTGCTTGGGGCGCTAGTATGGCGGCGGCGTGCTCGTGGAAGGCGAGCAGCGCGTGCGCCAGCCTAGCGGCCCCGCCCGCCTCCGCCCCGCCGCCCTCCTCCGCCGCGCCCTCCGCGCGCTCCTCCTGGCCCAGGTAGTAGAAGCACTCGATGCGGAGCTGCACAACAAGTCTTACACTCACACACTGTATTGTATAGTTGTTCAACCAACGGCACTCGGGCTATACTAAACTCTCAAATCCCATCACTCGATTTTAAACCTTATTGAATAGGGATGATGACTGGGTAAAAAAAAAAATCTCTTTAGTCCGTCAGTCTGATAATGGAAAAATTTTAGATACGTATTTTTTATTGCTTCAATTTAATAAGAAATAGCTTAGGTAACAGGCATTCAAGTTTACGAGTGGGGGTTCGGCACGTCACAGTTTTGTAGAATATGTACAAAAGCGTGACGTCATGTGCCATTAAAATACAATGCATAGCTGTAATTTATTGATGACGAAAAAATACTTATTTAATATTCTCAAATAACCTACCTGACCGACGGACGCAAAAAATATGTCGATATTGTTCTTTTTAATGAATAAAATTTAGGCTTTATAATTTTTTTATTTTATTTTGTTACTTAGGTTACGTCGATATACACAATCTAACCATCTGTGGACTTAACTTTAGAACAACAAAGTTAGATTTTTTTATATTATATCAACAATAACTTTAATAATACCTAAGATATAAAGTTTTTATATAATATTACATACATAAAATATTTAGATATTCATCAAAAACTAACATATAGAAATTAAAATAATAATTTTTATAAAATAGATATCATCGAACCATTTAAAGACCACACTTGGCATACATTAAACCAAAATATACCATTGACATATTATGCTTTTTTTAGTGCACTTATAATAGTAATTCGTTATATACTTTATATTAAATTTAAACAATATTACTAATACGCTAATACAGTAAGTTTCCACATAATTAAAACAGAACTCACTTCAAGGTGCAGAAACAGGAGGCACTTGTGCGATATCTCTTCAAATATCATAGCGGCGGAGTTGATGTCGCTCACAAACTTATCAGTCAATTTGATCCCTCCACCGGTGGAAGAAGACCCGCTCACTATGGAGGGGATTGTCTTTATGTTTGTGCTTAACCAGTCCTAGAGGAACAACAAAAGATTTTACAATTCAAAATTATATAACGATGCTATATTAAAATATTGCATTTGTCAGTTTCATCACTGTAAATAATATATGTATACACCAGCCAAATACGATGGAGAACAAATGCAAACAAAGCAAATCAGGGTCATCACAACTTAGATGACAAAAAAACTTATTACTAACCAGGATTCTGCACATTACTTAGTAATTTTATGAGTAATATTTTTTAATGCCATAAATTACCAGAACTATACTATAATAAAAACGTAACCGATCGATGTCTGTACATTGAAGATATATGAAAAAAACTGTTATGAGGGACATTTATAAGAGTAATAGAACACAAAACAATGATTTTTAAATTTTTTGTCTGTTTGTCTGTTTGTCGGTTTGTCTGTTTGTCTGTGCGTTTGTGCACGATAATCTCAGAAACGGCTGAACCGATTATAAATGCAGTTTTCACTATTATATTGCGACATTCTTCCGTTAACATTTAGTGTAAGATTTATTTCAATCGGTTCACAAATACAAAAGTTATGTCAATTTGAAGTGACGTGGTCGCCAAAATTGCTATGAAATATTTACTGTTTTATTAAATTTTCGTCTTTGATATATTGATCACCATCGTTAACTCTTTCACAGCCAAACTGCAGGGCCTCAGGCGTTTGTTTAATAATTTTTGGTCACCCATCCCGTGAACAACTCTTGCGAAAATTGCTTAGCAATAGCGATCGTGCGCAGCGGCGCATATCCGTAGAGCCACCGAGCTACGAATTAATATTGTCTATAAAATGATAATTTGTATGATGACAAATAAAAAAGAAAGATTCCAAAATTTTGACACTCCGAAGTAAGTTGACCTCATTTATATATGGCCAATCGTATTAAATAGGGTTCAGCGTATAATGGACATGTGGTATACGATCACGCGAGTAGGAGAACATGCGGAAAGAGCCATCCGATGATGCAATTAAGCCTCGAGTAGTTTACAGTGAACGCATATTTTTATCAGATTAGGTTCACGTCGTCGTCGGGGCCAGCGGAGGTGATTGGCAGCCGCTCCCGCATTGCACGGTTTCGTCTGTCTGGGAGAGGCACTCGATTTACTCGAGTCTCTCCAATTTTCCATCTGCAAGGGGACCAATAGTCCAATACTTGAGTGTCCTGGTGACTCGGCCATAGCTTGCCGGTTTTCATTTCCCATGAGAAGGTGTAGAGTACGGGTTTTGGTGGGTAGGCCTCTGGGGACCCACCGGGCAGCTCACTGTCGGTTTCACGGAGGAGAATCCTACTCACCCCTATTGTTGAAATCGATCGCATAATGTAAGCCGACCCTGTGTGAGAATTAGGTATTCCTTTCTACTGTTTAAAATGACAAAAATATATTTTATTTAATATAATAATGTTTCTATAGCATTTATAGTATTGTGAATTGATTTCATTATTTATAAATAGCAAGTTTATAAAGTATTAGTACATTTATAAATAAAACAATTGATTTTTCACTGGTTTTTGTTTACACATGACATGTTCACATTAAATTACACAGACTAGATAATTTTCAAAACACTATCTAAATTTCTTAGAATATTTCATAAAGTAGTATTTCGAAATAGAAAAAAATGTTTAGTTTAGAAAGGTTATTAATATCTCTGCCACTGGTTGCTAAGCAACGCTTTGTTAGTGAATATTCTTCATCGAATTTGGCTGTAGTATAGGTTACAACTTTTTGCATGCATAATTTATCTCTTTTCAACCTTTATCCCCTAGGCCTATAATATGAAGGCATAGACTTGACTAGCTGACTGACTAATATAGTGTGAATCGATTGACGAGTAAAAACATATACTTTTTTATATTGTGGTGGAAAGTAAAAAGAAAATTACTATTTTAATGAAGTTAATGAAGAAGTGACGAGTTTCCTGTCGGTTCTTCTCGTTACACACTCGCGGATCTATATAAAAGTATTACAGTATATAAAAATAACCAATTATCAATAATTATACGTATTTTATTTATAGATACACAAAACTTCGGTACATAAAGCCTCGATAATTAAGATAGAAAATGGGCTTTAAGAACTAAAAAAAAAGATTAAGAATCAATAAGGTGGTTAAATAGGGGTTTGAATATCATGTGAGCTACGCCGCTAGACTACAATTGGCGGCCTTATTGGACCTGAGCGATTTTTCTCAGGCAACCGTTACAGATCGGATAACTTGGGTAACTTTAATCTAGGTACAATATATAAGAAGCTTACCATACTCTCGCATAACAGAGCCAAATCGGTGAGCACGTTAATGTCGGAGACTATTTCTCGTTTGGTGACCGCTCCGTCGCCTAAGCTCGAGCCGAGGATCTCAGCTTCGCGCTCGTATGCTTGTTTCAACTCCTATGTAATAATACCAATACACAAAAGTACAAACAACCGTACATCAGGTTATACAAATCTGTTAAAATTTCTTCACTTGATTTTAAAACTTTACAATTTGAAGGTAGAGTTGATATCGGTTGTGGTTATCTGACGTGCTGTTGTGTGTACATCAACCGGTGCAATTCAAGGAGAGTATAAATAAAAAATAAAAATTCAGTTTACTTATGTAGTAAGGCTTTATCGTAATAAATAAGGACTATGATTATAGCAAAAAGCGAATCGAGCGAGCAAAGCGAGCGTGATCGTAAAATACATGTTTTAAAATGAATCTTTAAGATGTTATGGTAAAATATTATGCGTAAATGTTATAAAAATAAATAAGTTTTGCGTAAATATCTAATAGATAGATAACACTTTATTGTTAATACCAAATACAAAATATGCATAAAACAAAAAACATCATTAATAGGGATGACGACTAATTTTTGTTTGTTTGGCTATCAGGTTACTGAAGAATATTAAATTCGTTATTTCTTTCTATTTCTTGCGTAAGCAATAAATTACGGCGATACATTGATTTGAAATGTCGCACGACGTCACGATTAAGCGAGCCTCAATTCCTCAAGTTTGCCCAGTCGTCATCCCTATTACGGGCAAGTCTATCGGTCCGGTTACCTGTGCGCTAGTGGGCGCGGTGCTGAGTGCGGCCCGCCAGTTGGGCAGCGACTGCAGGAAGCGCACGATGTCGTCGTCCGCCAGCCACCGCGCCGCGCGCGCCCCCGCCCCCGCGCCCCCCGCACCCGCCCCCGCCCCCGCCCCCGGCGACAGGCGCGTGTGGGCCGCACGGCACTGGGTCGCTAGGGCGGCTAGTGCACCTAGTCAACAGGAAAACAATGCTAAATCTACATAAAACCTACACTGTTGCTTCGAAAAAGTTCCCTGTATTTTAGAAAAGCTAATATTACTCCGAACTAACCCCTTTTTTATAATTATACTACACTAGCTTTCGCCCGCGACCCTAGGGAAATGTTTTGTGGGATAAAAAATATCCTATTATCTAAGTCAGCTAACACCCTATCTGTATACCAAATATCATCAATATCCGTTTAGTAGTTTCGGCGTGATTGACGTACAAACATCCAAACAAAGAAACTTTCACATTTATAATATTAATAGGATTTTTAAAATTCTCGATCTTCACGAATTTAATTTTAACAATATTTATACAAATATTCGTTCTTGGATAAACTGAATTAGAAGAATTTACATCTACACATTCTTAATATCTTTTGATGATGGAAACGATGCTGATATTTAAATATCGTTTATCGACGAAATACATCCTTATTTGACTGCGACTTCCCAGGCGAAGAGTGAATATGATTCAAATATTAGAAAGACTTCCATATATTTTTTTTATTAACACTACTTTATAATATACACGGTAAACTACCTCTGAACACCTTTATAAGAAACAATAAATTATGTATAGAAAAAAAAGATCAGAATCAAATAGATTTTTAATATAAATTTAAACGGAACTTGATAATACCGCCAGTTTCTGTAAATAACAGACCTGTGGTAGCTCGCAAAGCCTCAACTCCGCCACAGGAGCCGCATCGCTTCGCGGCCAACGCCGCCTCCGTGACAGCCTGCCACCCCTCCGCACAGCACGCGAATATTGTACGATGACGAGACCTATACAACATTATTTCTATATATTTTTTTTTCTGTTATAGAGGATTTAATCATATTGATAATGTCACAAACAGATAATAACAGTAGCCTGGCAGCGTAATTTATAAGCGCCTCGGCCCGAGATCGTGGTTGTCAAGCAACTTTCGCAAGGGCCGGTCACGGGTTGGGTGACCAAAGAATTATCTGCCCCGTGCTTCGGAAGGCACGTTAAGTCGTTGGTCCCGGCTGCATTTCCAGTCGTTAATACCCTCCAATCAGCATTGGGCCAGCGTGGAGGGTCATGGCGCATCCTCCTTAACCATCTACAAGAAAGGCCTGAGCCCCTTCAGTGGGGATGTAAAGGGCTGATGAAGATGATGACCCTCGAAAATACTAAAACTTTGGTCTGCCTCGTTTGAATAGAATTTAACCTAAATAACTATTTATTTGGATTCTAGCTTTCCACTACCTTCGACCGCACGTTTTACACAATGACTTGGGAGTACCTTTAAATAGCCTGAATGTTATTTCAGTTTTGTAGTTTTTGCGCGAATGAGTAACAAACATAAGATATCATCATCTAATAAGGTTCACAAGAAATTTGTTTTACCAACTCGATACAAGTAGAAAACGTTATAGGATATACACAGGGAGTATCACAGAAATGTAGAGAAATTTTAGAGAGACATTGTATCTGATACCTATCCTTTACACTAATGGTGAGATCAGAGTTAGAACTTTTAATCAAATAATTTTATTTTTAAATGGTTACACTAATTATATCGCGGTGTATTGTTATCGATATTTTCCCATAATATGTTTAGTAACGTCACTAAACATATAAACACTCCGTTCGATTACTTATTCTTTTTAATTATCGGAGTTTTTTAAAAAGATAAGCTAAATGAGTTTCTACAAGAAAATTAAAAAGTTTTACCTCATCAGAGCCATTCCGTAAAAATCTGAACCCGAACTCGAATTCACTCATGTCTCCGAATTCACGACATTCAGTGTAGAATTTCTATTGTATCCATTTTTGTATAAAAATACAAAAACAAGATTAATTGGTTATACGTGTCACAGATATTCTATCCATATGTCATTTCGAAACTTATTTTACCAAACGTTAAGCAGATGTCACTATCGAAGTCAATTCGGACCCCTGAGTGAATACACATTCGGGTTCGGTTATCCTCGTCAGCTACACAGTACGTACGTAACGAACGTATACGTGGTTACACGCTGTCTACACTAATATTATAAAAAAAAAGGAAAACTTTGCTTGTATGTTTGTAATGAAAATGCTCAAGAACTATTGGACCGATTTTAAAAATTCTTTTACCTTCCGAAAGCTACATTATCCACGAGTAACATAGGCTATATTTTATTTTGTAAAAAAAAAATAGGTTCCGTAAGATATTTAGGTTTTTCGGACACAAGGTATAATCAACTAGAAAAGTTACTTATTTTGCGTACGTTGCCTAAACTATAAAATATAGAACCATAATATGTTCTAATTAATTGTAGATCTTATAAGTATCTTCAAAAAAGTCCGCGACACACTCAGTGTTATTACAAAAAAGATAAACAAGCGTTGAACACGTGTTTAAAAAAAATTCCATTACAAAATCGTATTTAGGCACTGTTTAAGACTAAACATTGTTTAAAATATAAACACTCGTTGAGAGTTGTTTAACGCGTGTCTAACCTCAAAATAGGTTGCACTTTGTTGAAAATTCATCCATATTCTTAAGATAAAGATTAGGTATATTGATATGGTCGATTTAGATTACATGGAAAGCTTTTAGGACGCGTAAGTAAACCGAACGCGAATTAATCCATTTGAGCAATACAATGAACTTTGATATAAAAAAAGTACATATTTAGTGGATTGTTTGCTGACAAAATATATGAAATTATTTAAGACGATATTCCACATAATCCTCGAGATGAAAGTATAGATCTGCAAATAAATACACGTAGCATGTGCATGTGTGCATAGCTTCTGTGTCTGTTCACAGCTTGTGAACATGTGCGGCGTTGGGTTCGGCATCAGGTAGTCGTTGTTCCGTTTCTTCATATTGTTTCGCTATAGTTTTACTTAACATTACTCTAATATGAATTATGAATAGAAGTCCCAGTTTAAAAACGTTAATTTTGTACTTTCTTTTTTACTTTTGAAAGTTATTAGCTAATACGTTATTGAACATATTTTTTTTACGATTAGAATTTATCATAAGTCTGTATAAGATGTGCATATAATGGAACGTGTATGAACGAATGAAAGCCGACTGAACGAATGCTTTACGGGTTGCATGTTTAAATCAGCGTTAGTTAGACTACGACTAAAATGGATTTGTAATAGACAAAGTTAAACATCATTTTAAACAGGGTTTATATTCTTAAACATTGTTTACTTAAACACATGGTAAAACCCTGTCTAACATCTCTTTTGTAATAACACTGACTATATCTATCTATGTAGAGTGAGGCACAACAACGTTTTATTTAAAAATCTTGTTTTTTTTTACTACATTTAAACGCGTTTATTTTACTCTAATCCTTATCAAAATAAATCCATCACTAAGTACAGTTTCTGTAGATAATATTTGGTTTGCATGATTAAAATTGGACGTTTGATTTTGAAGTTATGGCGACATTAAAATATTACGATATCTGCTGCACGGCCCGTTGCAAAGTGGGCGTCACCGAAGCGGGGTTGCGCGTGCGGGAGGGGAGTTTAGATCTATGAGTAAGGTACCAGTCGAGCACGCGGGCAGACCTCCTAGTAGATAGTCTAGAGGACGGTCGTCATCTCGGCTTGAGGTCATAAGGATCTCGTTGTCCCTGAACCCGGTTACACTGTAAAGGCCATCTGAGCCCAACAGTAAGACACACTCATAAAAAAAAAACGCGGGCGGACAGCTAGTATAGTTCATCATTTTACGTCCCCACTGCAGGGGTTCAGGCCTTCCTTATCGATGGTTAAGGAGGATGGGCCATGACCCTCCACGCTGGCCCAACGCGGATTGGAGGGTATTAACGACTGTAAATGCAGCCGGGACCAACGGCTTAACGTGCCTTCCGCACGGAGTAATTCGAGATAATTAATAGCCTTCGCTTTGTTCTATAAAGACTAATTATATGTTCAACTTATGTCCTACAGACTTTGAAAGTTGTATTTACTATTGTGATAAAATGATAATACATATTATTTTGGTAATGACATGATTTATGTAAATGTCATTACTTATGATAAAAAGCTGATAAGTTTCTTTCGCTTGTTCTTCTTGTCAGCTAAAAGACGTCCTGAACAAGTGGTAGGGGAAAAAAGTTTTTTCGGACGATTCAAAAGTGCTTGTAATAGCCTACTTGAATAAAGATATTTTCATTTCATTTCATTAATAATTTTTCGGTCACCCATCCCGTGACCGACCGTTACGAAAGACGCTTAACAGCAACGATCGCGGCCACCGAGCTACTGGTACAGTTATATGGCGGCATCGCACCCGGAGCTAGGAGGGCGCACGGTGTGCCGCCAGGCGGCGGGCGCGCGCATGGCGGCGTCGATGGCGGCGCGCGCGGCCGCGCACAGCCGCTCGCCCTCGCCGGAACGTACGTAGTCCGTCACGAACGCGCGCAGGGAACACTCGCCGACCCTACGCGCAGATTTTATGTCAATATTTTATTCAATGACAAAGAGTCGGTGAGTTTCTTTCGCTTCATGTTAGCTAAAAGACGTCCTGAACGAGTGGTAGGGGAAAACAAATTTTTGGACGAAAAGTGCTTGGAACAAGCTTACTTGAATAAAGATATTGATAATGCAGCAGATTCAAAATTAGGACATTTATTAAACTAAAATTTGAGACGTCTAAATAAACATTCATATACAGGGGCATGACTGTTTATTTTAAAATCTGACATTTGAAAAATGTTCATGAGCTTCACACTTTTTTTTCACACAAATATTGTCATATGATAGCGATTGCAACCGCGATTTTTTTTAAAGATACGGACATTAATTTGAAATCAGAGACGGTAGACGCAACTATTACTTAAAATTATTTTTTTAATATATTCCTTGATCATTCAAATATTCGTTCGTTTTTGACAAGCGACATATAGAGACACAACCTACTCGATGTGACCATGACGTCATGGTGGTGAAAGGTCTCTAGGAATCTAAACGAACTACAAGAGCGAACTAGTTCGTTTAGGAGCCGCGAGCTAAATTGTTCGATCTCAGTTGCGAATTATTATAAGTCCGGTAAATTGCTAATGCGCTGGAACCCTGTCTAATAACACCAGGGTGATGTCATTTAAAAATAATAAAAAATATCACAAAATGCAATACATAAATTATTTATTTAGTTGTTGAAATATTTATGAATAATCTCCAAAATATTTTTAAAATAATTTAATAATTTTTGGTTTGATAATATATTGCATTTATTAACATGTATGTTAATATTGCTGTTTATTTGTTAATAGTACTGATTTTTGAACGCATTTACATCATCAAAATGGCGGCCAGGTGCATTAGCAGTTTACGGGGATTATACCAGTACACATATAGGTAGCCTTTTTCACATAGCATAGGTACGGTGACGTTTGGGATTTGAAGTTTTTAGTGATTTGGTAATAAAAATATAAATAAAATATATATAAAAACTCAAAGATAAAGAATTATTGATTGCATTTCTAATAGATATAAACGATTTTGAGGTCGACGTAGAAAACAAGATTTCATAATAATATGTTTTTATCAACAAGATGAACCCGAGTCAGAAAAATACAAAATTTTATTGCATTCAATTTTAATGGTTCGACAACAATAATAAAAAAATTTACAAACTAATACCGAATCCAAATTTTAATTTATCGATTCAATCCCTATTAAAAAAAAAAACAATTTCGTTAATGTCTTAAAGATCAGTTAGATTTTTCTGTGTTTCAATATGCAGATTTAAGTTATCAAACTTTTTTTTTATAAAAAAGGTTTTTCATTATTTGAAAATACAAATTGCGTGAAACGGATCTCTCGACAGACGTCACCGTGCTTATGTCATGTGTAACGGAGCATATGGAGTGAGAGAGTCACCCGTGCAGCGCCTCTATGTGCGCGCACAGCGCGTGCACGTGCGGCAGCAGCGCGTGGATGTGCGCCGGGTCCGCGCGGCACACCAGCCGCCGCCGCGCGCCCCCCGCGCCCGCACCACCCGCACCCGCGCCCACCCCGCCCGCCACACCCGCGCCCCCCGCTGCGTTTTATTTATTATAGAGAGCTAGGTATAATATAGAACATGGATGGTCAACCAGTCGATGACGACTATCAGTCCGGTCGATCGTGGCAATTCAAAAAATATAAATACATAGTGTACGAACTATGCTGTTTCATTTGAGATTTTAAGAAGTAAAGTGGTAGATCGTACTGGGTGTCGTCCGTGAAAAGTCGATCTTGGCTCTAAACAAGTTGGCCACCCCTGTTATAGAGTATTATTAAGATTATTTAAGTCTAGACCGCAATTCTTAATAAGTGTACACAACATGATTACAGTGTTGATTTCACAAAAAATATGGAAAAAAACGATTAAATAAATATAAAAAAAAAAATGTTGCTGTGAATGGAGTTCGGAAAATTTTGTATATATAATAATATTAGATACATTTTTTTTATATTGTGACAAACTTGGGATGACATTAAGAACAGTAAAAATGGGAATATTTTTTTAAAGATAATTACATTAGTACATTTAAAAAAGCTAGTTCTCAGCTCGGGATTAGAACCTGGATGTTTGAAAATTAAAACTTACTTTATTTCTACTTAGATACCGATCGTGTAGTTATTTAGCGGTCAATAATCTGTTAGGAAATGTGATGTTAATAAAAAAACTTTTATTTTTTAGTTTTATCTCAATATGTTGTTATTCTCATAAACACGGATCTAAAGAGCCTAAACACGATGTAATTGCGTCACTAAGTTTAATGACCACCTTCCGAGATTCATCATCATCTGCTTCCTGACACCATAATAATACATTGTCATCTATCTGACTTACATGTCTATGCAAAATTTCAAATCTATCGGACATTGGGAAGTGGGTCAAATTTGAGTTCCAAGATTTGACCATTAAGCTTATAATAAAATACATCATTTTTCATATCCTCTGATTTATTTTAGAAGTAATGGTAACTACCCAGTGCCTAACGGGAATGACGAATTTTGCAAGCACTGCTTACAGAGCGTATTTCCATCACTATTCAAGCAATCCACCCAAACATATTTTCCAGCATAGAATTGTGAACGCGAAATTGATCAACTAAATATCGTTCTAATGTCACACTTCGTTGACCCCCCCCCCCCCTCCTAACGTGTGACGTAATTTATTGATGGCCCCTTTCCTTATTCTGACCGTTCTAAATGTTACATCCTGTGTTAAAACAAATCTGAGACCTTATGAAGGAGTGCAAAAAAAAACAAAATAACACACTGACTCGGCAAAATAACACACTGACTCGAGACCGAAAATTAATCCTGCATGGGATTAATGCTGGGTTGCCAGGCGTCCAAATAAAGTCGGACATAGTTTTTTGATGACGTATCCGACCAAAATAAACGGTGCCAGACTTCTTCAATCATATTCAATTCGGAAGTCACTCGAAATAAAGCACTTTGCATTCGATTTTAATTATATATTACTAGGATGGAGAACATTTATGGTAAATAATCAGTAAAAGTAGATTTTTACTTTTATATTATAAATTATATAAACACATAAAATCCAATGTAGGGTGTCCAGCCTTTTTAGACAAATGCCCAACTAAACAGGCAAGACTGGTTACCCTACCTCCAACTATTTATGCGAAGACACTCACCGTTCAACTTGAATAGTTTAGCGCGCCTCCTCTGCGGCCGTTTCTTGGCGAAATAGTCGGCGAGTCGCAGTTCGGTGTTGGCTTCGTTTACAGCGGCGCCCGTGGAGCGGACCGCGGCCAAGTTCACACTCTCTATGTCCAGGTATTCAGTTAACAGCAGTTGGAACTGCAAGTAATTAGTAACATTTTTATTTATTTTGCTAGCTCAAAACGTTCATATGATTATATTAAACTACGTTTTTTTTTATATAATGTGTTATTAAATAAAGGTTAATCGATAAAGATGAAAATTTATTATTATTGATTGATTTTGAATTCACAATATTACTCTGAAAAATATTCTTTATCAAAAGTTTAAATTATTTCTTTCGGCTGTTTGGATGGATTTTCTGAACATTGATGAAAATACGCTCTGTAGTAGCGTAACAGTAACAAGTGCTTGAAGAATTCGTCAATCTTGTTAGGACCTGGGTAGCTCAGTGGTTAGAGCAGTCGCCATAACCACTCGTGGATTCGAATTCTATGGCGAATCTCGGAATATCAGGGATAAAATGGTTTTTTCTTTTAAGATTTTTGACGTTTACTTTATTGAAATGTGACGTCACATGATGCACCATCATTACCGCCTGAGTTTTGGTTCTTGTAATTTACAGATAATTTTCTCAAGCTAATTTTGCAAAAATAAAATGAACGTACGATTTTTTTCAAAACAAAAAATGATTTTTTTATATATAAGTGACCATTTCCAATATAATTATCATAATTTATTATTGTAACTTTCAAGTTACCAATTCACTAATCGCTATCTTAGGGTCAATTCGGATCAAGTGAACATTGCTCACAGATATCTTAAAAAGCTTCGCTGGAAGCTCGAACAGTCCTGCGAATTTTAGAACTGTCTTGCGGATGTTCGGTCAGATGATGCTTCGAGCATTGAGTTTGAATTTAAAGAATATACTATGAGCGACTGGAATTTTGGAATGATTAAGCTATTAGCTGAAGAAGAACATGATTCTACATGTCGGTATATCACAAGAATACTAAGCGAAAGGTACTCACAACTTGTTGTACAGCACTCCAGTAATGTTGTTCAGTATGAAGATATGAATCGGACAACTTATGCCTTTGTAACGCAGCACGCCACAACTGTAATAATCTACAAACAAAATACAAATCATTATGACAAGAACTATCCACTCATTAATTGTAAGAAAAAGTTTTTGCATCATAAGTAAAATAAAATACAGAAACCTTTCAATATCATTGAGAATATGTTTTTCATTCTATGGCATCTATGGGGCCTAGGGTAAGTGCTCCTATCTACAAACGCGGCCGAGGTTTTAAAAGTAACATTATTTTATAAATTGGCATAAAATGGGTTGAATATTAAAATATAATAATATTTCAACTTAAACAAGCAATAGTTACCTTTTATTTCTTGTAGCACAAGCTCTGAACTCCTGTCCTAGCGTAGCGACTAGTCTTGCTAGCGGTCGCGCCGTCTCTGTCACTCCATCCACCTCTGGTGTTTCGCCGTCCTCGTCACACTCGACGTCCGGTTCCACGTCCACTTCGTCGATAATACGACGCGAAACAGAGTCTATTACATCTAGCAGTTCATCCTGGATTTGCACTTTGAATTTCTGCCAAAAAGAATATGCAACTAATTGTGCCATCCGATTATCAAACTAAATCAAGTAGAGTTGAGATATAGATGAGATAATGATTTGTATATAATACATAAATAGAATATACTATAGAAAAAACATACATATTACAAAAATACAGAAATAATAAAGAACACTATAGAAAAATACATAAAGAAAAAAGCATCTTGCATTCAATATATTTTAGATTGGTTTTGTCTCTCTAATTTTTACTCTCTAAATTATAGTTTCAATAATTGTGAAGGACACATTAAACAATCAAAATCAAGAACATTCAATCGACCCGCCCCTTTTTGCAAAGACTAATGAGTGGTGCAGATATGTCACTTCAGCTATTAGAAAATCCAGTATTTTACGTATTTTTTATTTTAAATGTTAGACGTGTTTTCTTAATAAAAATAATTCAAATACATTAATCGTAAGAATTGTGGTCTTTTATGTTCTTTTATCTTTGTTGGTGAGAAAATAAAATTATCTCAGGCTCATATTCGATGTCGGCATCGAAGTCAAGATTAGTTGAGCATCTTTTTATTTTTAATATATCTCGACACTGAATAATAACATCAACAACCGATTCTAAGGGTCATCAATATACAGTTTTACTTCCAAAATGCAAGCTAAATATCTAGGTCATATGTTGCGTTTCATATTAAACATATATAATGAATGATAATTTTGATGGGCTCTATTCATGATACCCAACTGTCATATTTGGGATTATACTTATATGTCACTAAACAAAATATTTATGATGACTGATTTATAGATAAAACAAAGACGCCTGTTTTTTCTTTTTGTTTATAAAAGCTAAGCCAGAATGTAGATATTAATTTATATGAAAACTACAAAATCATACTAAACAAACTTGTAGAACTGACCTCGGTGGCCTCTTTCAGTTGGTCTAGAACGCCGAGAGCTTCAAGTGATATCATTATTGTAGTCTCGAAAGTTTTATCCTCCTCTGATAATGACGCCTCAAACTCTGGCGTGATGTCTTGGAGATACGCGTCCGTCACCTCTTCGCTTTTTGTCAACTCTAGAACAAGGATTATTGTCAGAAAAAAAAAATTACTATGCCGTCTATCATATAATCTCCTCTTTTTCGATTTTGAAGTCGGTTAAAAACAAAAACTATTCCGAGTAATTTGAGCAATAATATTATGCAACATTTCATATAATAAAAGGAAAGTGACGCACTCTTAATTACATTAAGTTCAGCCTGTTAAGAAATGTACCTAGTGTTAGGTACACTTTAAAGAGATTTGTAGTCATGATGTCAGTTGATCTCAGTGTTACCAATGCTACTGTTTTAACAGTAGATTTGGTGGTTTCACATTGTTGCTCTGTTTTCTGCTTAATTCCTAATTCTTACTGTTTTTCAATTAGCGTTCAATGATACCAATTACACTAAGCAAATATAATCCGAAATAACAGACTGCTACTCATTTGAAGCCACAGAAAAGCACATGAAGAAATTCAATAAAACTATGTATGAGCTTTTGCCCGCGACTTCGCCCGCGTGGTCTAGTTTTAAGTCCAGAAATGAGAAAATTCTTTAAAAATTTCTTCAATTAGCGGTCGAATTTCGTAAAATCCCGTCTTAGTGAGCACCTACGTATTAAAAAGAAACCGCATGCAAAATTTGAAACTCCTAGCACTTGAAGTGACGAAGTTTCATACAAACTTTATCCCTTAGTTTAGCCCCTTCAGGGTGGAATTTTCAAAAATCCTCTCTTAGTCCTCCTCTACACTCCCTAAGGAATCTTCAACCCAAATTTCAACTTTCTACGCTCAGTAGTTTTGGCAGTAATCCATCTCCGGACATAATGTGCTAATAATTGTAGAATCGTATTGTCCTCCTATGACTTATAAAAATAATTGGAGCCGTACCACACTCATCTGTATGCATTTCTGCAAACATACCTGACTCACTGCAGAAACGATACAGCCCCAAACAGTACAAACTTCTTCGCTATGAATGATATTGCTCACCGGCCAGCAATAGAGCGGTGCGTCGGCGAGCTGAGACACGACGCAGCAATGGACTGCGGTCACCACGGTACACCGCCTCACTGATACGTCGCACTATTACTTCAACTAACTCCCTCTTTTTAGCCTTGGAAAAAGTATGAACGAATGAATGAACGAAAGACTCTTTATTGTAAACACTATAAGTAAATGAGCAGTACACAATAATGTAACAGACACTACAATTGGCGGCTTTATTGCTAAAAAGCAATTTCTTCCAGGCAACCTTAACATAATATACAGGATTCAATTGAAAAATTGGGTAGTCTATGGTGCATTAAGGAGTCTGTATTATTACAATAGTACATTACGATATTAGTGCGTTATAATCAATACGCACGTCTAACGTACGACGTTTTTTAACACATTTGCGAGGAAACAGAAAAAAGAAAACATTAAATAAACTCAATCTGTGAATGTTGCTTTCCCGCCATTTACTGACTGGCGCCGCGCGACGATTAGTTCGAAATTTGAATAGCAACAACACGCGAAATGGCAAATAATACTGTTATGGAATTTGTATGGACTATAACTTAACTATTTGCTTTGGTAACACACGCGTTTTTTATGACCCGCTTTACATATTTAAAACCGGTGGAATTACACCAGCTTTACGAGAAAAGGTGTTAAAAAAAAAAATTATGATTAAGCAGATAAATTGTCCATAAATTATCTATTTATAGCATACATAGTCACATACACACATATATATATGTCGCATCATCTTTACGAAGATCGTTTAATTTAGTTTCTTGTATTTAAATTGCTAGTTACTCGATTACTTTAATACTCGATTGTAGAGAGAGCGTGATCATCGATACTTCTAATTTTATTAGAATGGTGACACTGACTTTGACAGTTTGTTAACAAAAAGCAAATTGCCGCCATTTTGGCACACATTCTGTTTCCGATCGCGAAACAGAAGGAGGAGTAAAGGCAGTAAAGACATCCGACGACATCACGCTCATCTCGTTATTTTTTCGTATGAAAAGTGATAAAATGGAACAAATCCACGTTGGTATATACGCCTGCAGCGTTATTTTAAAGAAAGTCCTCCAATATGGACGATCTATTTGGGCCTGTAATAGCCCCTTCTGACTACCCGCCGTTATATATATATATATACACTTAAGAATTACGAATGAATTTAGTAATACAGAAATTATTTTCAAATTTATTAATGTACTGTTATGACATCTACCTCTTTCTTACATCATGATACTTTTAAAAACGGGTTTTACACTCAAGTGCAGGCACCAGTATATACTCGAACTGTAGTACAATTGTACTTTTTTTGTATTGTGGAGAAAAATAAAAGAAATATTATTACTCTTATTCCTTAAATGTAACAGAATTCGTTAATTTTTTGCCTTGTTAATGAAGGCTGACTGTCTATATTTCACCATGGCAAGGTACTCACTTCCAAGTGTTGCCTTGTAGAATGTAACGCATCTACGTGTGACAGAGTTGTATCAGCGGTATCTAGCGCGGCTCTCAGCGTGTACGCCGCGGCGAGCACGCGACCGGTTGATATGAGCTCACGAGTTTCACGCTCCGAAACTACCACACGTTCTCTGAAAGCAAGCCTTTATGTTGTATCTACAATAGGGCATAATATATCTTTCGAAAAGTGTTTCGACAGTTGTCAATATGGATGTTTATTTACATAAAAAAAATATATATCTATATGGGGACGTCAAAAGGGATTATAGTCACAATTATTGAATTAATTTTATGTTGGATATAAAAATATTTAAACACAACAATTATTTCTGTAAACTGTTAAACATTCACTAATCATCAAAATTATTTTACTTTTCAATGTTTCCGGCAGGGTTAGGGGTGATAATTATCTTAATAAATATAGCTTGATAATTATGAAATACTACATGAACGCTTTAGGACTTGGTACTGAAGAGGAATAATTTTAAACAACTATCAAATATGGTTTTTCTGATAGAAAAAATTGTCTAGAAGGGACCTACAATAACAAAAAAAAAAGTAAAACCCCTCTTTTATTTAAAAAAATATTTTTTATGTTTTCATTAAAAATATTTTTCAATGTGATTGTTACAGTTTTTTTTTTAAACAACAAAAATAAAAGTTTATTCAATTATGATTGTTGCCAGTTACTATTAATTGGATAATTGTCCTATAATAGAACCCCGGCGCATTTTTAGATAGGTTTTTTTTTTACTTATTTACCCACATATTATGTCACTTGCTCTGATTTAGTGTTTCATTGGAGATACAGACTACAAATATTGAAAAATAACATTTTTAATACATGATTACAATATTTCTTTTTTTATTTAAAAATTATATTAATTGCTTACATGTCTGTCAACATCTGCAATGCATAATAGTGGGTGCGGGCATCCGCCCACAGTCTCTTCAAATCATCTCTTCGCAGCTGCAGCAGTCCACGACATGCTGCCAGGCGAGCAACTGCAGCGTCACAGTGTTGCCCCCACACTGACATTGCAGTGCTGACACTGCTGAATTTCTGTGTACACCAGAGTTTATAACTATGTAATAATATAAGGCAATTAAATGTAACCTACTATTAAGTATTTCTGAGAAGTGAAGACATAAAAACTAGCTATTGTATATTGAAATATGGAATACCATATTTCAAGACTAAGACTGTGTAAATTATAGTCAAGATAGCATAGCATGATGTAGCTTCCTTCTGGTAACTAGCTGCAAAGATCCTTTTATATTTTTACAGATTGTTCTTTTTTTGTGATTTTGTTTTTAGTTTTTACTCTGTTATTGATTGTTGTTTCCTGGACTTTCTCTGTGACTTATTATTATTTATTTTAATTTAAATCCATTACTTTTTTATTATACAGTTTTTATTCCCCTAGCTATTACTTCCCATAGGTAAAAGAATTTTTAAAATTGGTCCAGTTGTTTCAAAAAGTATTTAATACAAACAAACTATCAAATCATTTTTCTTAATTATATTGATTGAAATCATTACCATTTATTATAAAAAGTATTTATTTTATTGTATAAAAGTAGAACAAACCATACCAAAAGTAGTTTGACTTTATTTTTCTTACTTGGAACATATTTATAATAAAGCTCATGTTACCTGCATAACTTCCATTATTTCTTGTGCATGTGCAGCCACTAACTCATCCAATCTCGCATCACTCTTTTTATATTCCTTTTCTAATTTTGCTCTCTCCTTCTCACGCTGCTCATTTGTTTCACTTGCAGATAATGTACGAATTACTGACATGAGGAGTCCACTCTAGAATAATCAGTATTATATTAAGAAGGAAGACTGTCATTAAAAAGAAACATTTACAACTTAGTGTAATAAATCGCTATTTGGTACATTTAAAATTATTATTATCATAGAAAGTTTTCTTAATTGAGTTTTTTATTCATGTGACTGAAATATTTGTACAGTTATTTCTGCATAACATACAAAAAGCAGTCTATACATTTTAAAATATACTGAGCGAAACACAGGATTCTGGTGAAATGCACAAAGGCAATGCCAATAATTAAAAAGAAGAAGAACAGCTCATCCGGATTTAATAAAATTGACAAAATAAACTGTAGTTAGAGTTACAAATCAATGGTGAAAATTCATTAAACTATGATAACACCTGTTTATTTGCAGATTTATTTTGCTACACTTACACATTCCAAACAAATTTAGAACAGTAAGTAGTGCAATTAAAATTATTTAGCGTTTATATTGATATACAAGATAACTGTCATAATTAATCTAGCTAGAAGTGAACTTACTGTTTCTTTGCCTTGTTTAACCCCCCTAGGGGGTTTAGTAGGAGGGGGAGAAGACATTTCCGTATTTTTTTATGAAAACCGCCCCTATTATTTAATTATTTTTTAATTCCAAGTTTCTATCTCCAGCTCTTTTTGTTTCCAATTTGACCACAATTTGACACATTTGACAGTGGCAGTATTAAGTAGTCTTTTTTTTTAATAATATTTTTGGCTTGGATGCAGAGTTCTTTAAGCCAAAACTTTTTTTGCACTGTCTTCGGTTATTTCATTATTTAAAGTTAGTATTAAGTAGTAGTATTATAATTCGTCCATGGAACAGTATTAAGATATAATGACTTATAACCTATATTTAGTCTATAGATTTAATCTATATATCTTATTCCATGCAGGGTAGGTAGAGAGGACCGAGTGTCACAAGGTAATGCGTAAAAATTAAAATTCATAATCATTTTGTTCTGTCTTGGCTGTTAAAAGCACCTGTGAATGTCGAAAACTACGCCATTGGTTCGCAAATCAATGGCGGGAGACCTTGTAGTAGAAGAACTGGCAAGATTCATCTTTTACCACCTCCACTTTATCGAACTCCATTAATCTGTTTATACTAGCTAGTCGGTTTTTATGGCTTCTAACAGCACCCGATTGATTTGATTGTGAAAAGTTTGTTGTAGCCTTCCTCGTCTTCTACATCGTTATGTATCAGCTATGATATTTTTTCATCCAGTTTTGTTTCCAGGATTTTATTAAAACACAGGTGTAGATAGTAAACGAAAATAAATACATATTATTTTTTCTGGTAGTGTTTAAGACACTATTGCCTATAATCACTTTTATACTTATCATATTTGGTTGGGGAAAAAGTCTTCATGCATATAGTATGCGTAAACTTATAATAAAATCTTTCTGGCTATACCATTTGTATGTAGCTGATTTCGATACTCCGAATTCAAACTAGGAATTTGTTGATCAAATTTAATTAATATGTTCAATAAAGGCAAAGCAGTGAAATTCGGTATTCCCGATGAATTGACTATTGAGTATTGTAAAAGAATGCCTTCAGCTTACGGAATGTCAGCCCGTTATTTTATTCCATTAAAGGGCTAGTTGCTTAATTTGACGGCTGATTAAACCATTTTTGTCTTTTCTTATTATTATCACAGAATTAAAAAGCAACGACAGAGCACCCAACAAGTAAAAAATAACAAGTGATTTTGCAAAGACTTAGTACGATGATCTCGAGTTCAGACGGTCCTGTCACGTCATAGGCGATAAAGATCACAAAAAATAATAAACGTTCCGGAAAAAACACTCAGTTAAATAATCTATAACTTGGTCATTTATTAATGTATTTTAATTTTGTCTTTTGTTTTATTTTAGTTTTGACCTACATATGTTTTTGTTATTATATTGTTTTAAATATAATAATATCAATATCATGAAACTTCCTTATTAATAATGGCAAGGCTTTTTTTATAAATTGATAAAACTATAATAACACGAATATATATGATATCGGCCGAAACCGATATGTACCAATACTCATATAAACCATGCATCCTTAGTTATACCTAAATAGAGATACGCGAAAAGAATCGATATCTTAAGCAAACGTTACTTTTGTTTTAAAACCAAGTACTTCTCGTATCGACGATTTCACCGAATACAATATAATTAAAAGTTTATAGAATATAATGTTTTTAATAAATTTTAGTAAAAAAATACCCTCATATATTTAATGAAAAAGATGTTGTGTCTCGATTGATTATCATATTTGTGTTCACAAGAAGCTGCGAACATTATTTTATCTACTTACGTAGTTAAAACCATGGACCCATAATTGAAAAAAACTTTAACTAGGTCCCTATTACAACATTTTATTTGAATTTTACTATACTAATCGAACCTATGACATACTGCCAGAATTAAAAGACAGCATTTCCAGAAAAAATATTAGATACAAGTTTAAAGGGTACTTTTTTAATCATTTTACGCTATGTATGATTGTAATTGTTTATTGATTGCAATATTTGTAGTTGTAATAATCTAATGGATCCGATTTAATAATTATGAAAATAAAAACAAGTTGTAAACTCTAATAACACAACTCAAACTTCATTGGTTTTTAGATGTTATTTGTAACTATTTGTTATGTATATGTTTGTTTACTTGATAATAAATAAAAAAAAAAAACTATTCTAAGAGGAATAATTAATGTAAGCAAACTCACGTTATTGTTAAAGTTTCATTTGTCGGAAATATAAAAAAGGAACTGACGTAGTTTTATTGCAATTGAAAAAAAACAATGAAAGATACTCATATTTTCTTAAAAATAATAATTATATAAACAACATATATTGACATTTTTAATTTAAAGAATATTATAATGCGTTTGAAAAATTTAATATGTACATAATAAAAGTGAAAAAGTGTAATAAACTTATATCACTCTCGCAAGCTACTGTTTATGTCACTATTTTGGACTTTAAATAACATTAAAAAGAATCATCAAAAATTCAATTTAAAGCTTTAAGTACCTATTAAGTTCAATCGACACTCTTCAACTAAAATATTAGTTATATAAATATTTTAGCTTATATTGCTGCCATAAGATATATTGCTGCAACTTTTTGTTGCCAGATTACAGGAATAGCACCTGTTTTCAATATTTTTTTATAAAACGTCATTAAACGACATTTGCAAAAATATAACATGGTGACTGATATGTAGCGACACCTAACACATCGCACTAACATCGCCACAACAATCGATAGCAAGAAGCCTAGTATCGCCATGTGGCGACTGATACATAGCGACATCTAACTCATCGCACTAACATCGCCACAACAATCGATAGCGAGAAGACTAGCATCGTCACAGCCATCGATAGCAAGACGAACTGCAATAAGTTTCAACAGCAAGTAACGAGATGGCGCTGCACCAATACAAACAGCATAAATTAATAACTACAAGACATTTAGAACAAAGAAACCTACATCGCACAGAATAAGTTTCATTACCAATTAACATAAATAGAACGTCCAACCTACATCGGTTGGACCGCGGTCCCCGGGCTAACAACACCTAGCTCGGAGGGAGAGGACCGCGGTCCCCGGGCTAACAACACCTAGCTCGGGGGAGACAATTATCCTTTAGTCTCCCTGGCCAGTTGTCTCCATCACCACAGTAGGGACCACACCTCCAACCATAAGGTTCTTAAAGCCGCAACAATCGGTTGCAAAACGAACTGAAAGAAGTTTCAAGAACACCCAGTAACGAAGTGGCTCTGTACATTGTTAAAGTCATTTAGAATTAAGGAAACCTACTTCGCACACAATAACTTTCATAACCAATTCACATAAATAGAACGTCCAACCTATGTATATCGGTTGGACCGCGGTCCCGGGCTAAAAACATCTAGCTCGGAGGGAGACACATAATCTTTCGACGCCCTTGCTAGTTATCTCCATCATCCAGCAGGAGCCATGCCGTCAATCTTACAGTGATAAAATAGTTAGATATCGATTATTATATGAAATAGGTAAGATTTAAATCGATTAACTTTGCCCACCCCTATAACATTATGTCAAAATCAGTAAAACGTCAAATGAAATTTGAAAATGAACGAACCGAACTTCTGTTTTCAAAGTTAATAGGTGGTTAATAGCAAAGATTACAATAATAGCTTTCTTTAAGTTAAGTTTTAAGTTTGTACTGATAAAGAATTAAGTAAGATTAGTAGGTTTGTTGACGAATCTAAGTTGTTAAGATGGATTACTCAACGATAAGCAATAAAACAAACTGTACAGAGATGGAGGAGATAACAAATGGAGAACTCAGTGAGCGATACTATTTACTGAAAAAGCAATTCGAAAACTTATCCCACAGTTACGATATCATAAAACAGGAGTTGCATGATACTAAAAGGAGTTATCAGACAGCTTTAGACGTTCAGAGTCATTTAAATGCCGAGCTCGAGAGCTATCAGGCAGATGAGGAGAGAAGGAAAAACGATGCAGCGTCTCGGATTGCGTCGTTGCAAGAGGAGATAACTATGTTGCGCGAAGAACGAATGGAGTTGACAGAAAAACATACTGTAGAGTTGAAGAAATACGAGTCTGAAGTTCGTCGATTGAAAGAGGAGAATTCTTGCATACAGCGTGTTAGTCCAGTGCGTGATTCGTCGGAGCTGGAGGAAGCGCGCGCCGCTGTGAATTCTGCTTTGTCTGATGCTGAGTCAGCGAAGGCTGCCTTAGAGGAGGCTAGAGCTGAAGTGTTGTCTTGGCGGGTGAAGGCTGAAGAGTTGGTGTCGGAAATGGCAGAGATACGAACAGCTGCAGAGCTCCGTAGAGAGGAGTTGAGGGCGGCAGGGGAAAGGGAAGCAGTAGCCCTAGCAGATTTGGCTGAAGCCAGAGCTATGCTGCATCAGTACACAAGTGTTCAAGACTTGGAGCCTCATGGTGAGTGTATTGTTGAATAATCAGTAATATTGTACTATTCATCCCCATAGCAGAAGGGTTTTGATCTGTCTGCGACAGATTATAAAAACCTGAAAATATGTCTGCAAGAATTTTAGTTGAAATGTCCTCGCAAATCACGATCAATGCTATTCTTTCAAACCATTATCCCGATATTGTTTAAGATACTACTCAGGATCCGATTTATACATAAAATACATTATATATTTCTATGAAAAAAAATTACCCTCCAATCTGCATTGGGCCAGCATGGAGGGTCATGGCCCATCCTCCTTAACCATCCATAAGGAAGACCTGAGCCCCTGCAATAGGGACGTAAAAGGGCTGATGATGATGATTTCTATGAAGTAATATTACAAATTTATCATACATCCAGGCTATTGTTTGAAGTTGAAGGAATGTATTTAATCTTAGGTTTTATTATTTAAATAAATAAAGTACTGAAGCTGTTTTTCATAAATCTTTATGTTTATTACAGACAACAAAATAAAATTACAATTTCAAATTAAAGTTTGATTATGAAGATGGAGTTACAATGTAATTTTTTTATTTATGTAAGACTGCCAAACTGTCTGCAGACCTACTTGGCTGTCTGCGACAATGTCGTAGTGTCGCTCATTGTTCTACCTTGGGGCTATTCATTAAATTATATCTATTCTGTATTTGTTTTGCAGCTGCCAAAGGAAACTCATTATTTGCTGAAGTAGAAGATAAAAGGCAAGAGATGGCAAAAAACCTTATTCAAATGAAACAAACTAATTCACGGGTAAATATTTATAGATTTTTACAAAAAAATACATAACATTTTGTAGATGTGTACCAAACACATAACAATACAAGAAGAGCAAGCAAACACAGCAAAACAGAGTGATGGTATCCAATATATAACTATTGTAAGTAACGTCTTTCAGTTGAGACGAGAGCTGGCTAATAAGCAAGCAGAGCTAGATGCCCTTCTTCACGAGAAGCAGGTTATTTGGGAACAGCAGGCTGGAGCCACTGCTCATTATGATCGTGAACTTATAGGTCAGTAACATTTATTCATCTCTTCTTTATGGAAGCAAATCCTAAAACTGTCAATGACCTGTCTTCAACTATACTATAATGATAATAAAGAATGCCATTGTGGGTTGTGATTTTTCAAGTGCACTTAATCAAATCAAATCAAATTTTAGTTATTAGTAAGTGATAAATAAAATTTTTGTTATTAGGAATCTAAGCAGAAAAACAACAGGCGACTGAACAGAACAGAAAATTTCTCCCTCAAACCTATGATTTTGATTCTAAACTTTTGTACTTTGCAGAAAATTATGAAGACCGCATTAGTCAGCTGGAAGGACTTTGTGAGAAACAAAGAAGGGAATTGGCACGTTGGTTTAGTAAGCTTGGTGAGGTCACCACACACGGTTGGTTGCCTGGAGTCCTCGATCATTTGAGGTGAGTGAGAGTAGATAAAGAGAGCTCTGTCTTTATGTGTCAATGAAACCAGTCACGTATGAGTCTCATTTCAACTGTAACTATCACTGTTTATGAGAAATAGCCTGTTGAGAGATAGATAGCAGAGTTATAGTCTAGTAATATGGTCTAAGTTACCTTATTTTTTCTCTCTAATTTTTCCAATAAAATATAAATAACTAAAGTCAAGTCGGATTTTAGAACATCACATACATTAATCAGATCCCAAATGTAGCTTTTAGCAGTTGAATTGTGGATGTCAGAAATAATGAACATACCAAAACACCCAGACCTCAGTAACATAAATTTGTTGTTTTTTTACATTGGCCTCACTGGAAGTCATATATGGGACCACGAGAGTTGATAACAACATGAAACTGACGTGCAAGCCACTCTGCTACAGGCACTTGTAAATAACCTTAATGTTAATATTTCAGTTGTTTTTTATTTTTGCTTAATTAAATTGTCTATGAGCAGTGAGTTGAAATTTAATAAAAAATAGTTCTATCTAATAGATAATTGTTATGTAATAACTTGATTATTGAAAAATGCTGTTGAAAGGCTGTCATTTGATTTGATTTTCTGTATACCTATTAATTTAATAGATCTCCCTTTAGTATTTAAATAAAGAAATTAATGAATAGATTAAATGAAAATATCGGTGTATCAATACAGACATAGTATTTTGTTACAATAATGGTCTGTGAAAATTTTACTACTATTGATATCAATAATGATTTTACCTATTATTTTTATTTATTTTGTTTGTTAATCATTATTGACCAGTGACTAAGTCAAAAGACGGACTGAATACTGAGAACATTTTCCCAGTCAACCTTTAGGAAAATCGATTATCATTGAAAATTAATAAAATACTTTTAGTTTGTATATTTAAAATCTTTGCAGTGATTTACGAGTTATATTTCTGGACCTGAAAAGCATTAGGTCGGATGTGCAGAACCAGCTAAAATCACTTATCGCCATAACGTTGCTACACTCTTTTTTCTCTTTCCGGCAAATTAACTCTTGTATGTTTGTGCCTTTTTACTCATGAGCAACAGTCATGCATAAAGTCGGATCAGACGACTTTTTCAAATATTTTGATTGCATTTAGCTATTTCTGTTTTTATACAGTTATGCCTAAGATTCCCGACATCCGACCTAATGCTTTTCAGGTCCAGATTTATGAATAGGGTTGCCAGATGGTCGGGATTCGTCTGGATTGTCCAGACATTTCGTATGATGTCCAGAGTCCCGAAAAAAACAAATATGTCCCAACAAAAATTGTTAGATTGTGTAAAATCGAATTACAAGTATAAAAAATGAATATAACAGACATATAGTAAGTAGGTATATTAGCTGTTTAAATGTTATACTATTAGCTGTTTAAAAGTGGAAACTTTTAAATTATTTAATAAATTAAAAGTGGATTTTTTTATTAGTTTTTTTTTGTCCCGACTGTGATCCCAAAATCCCGACGTTTTCAAATTTTGACCAGATATTTTAGTCTCGCTATCTGGCAACCCTATTTATGAAGTGTATGTGTATAAATTTGCATCGTATCTTCTAGAATTCTAGAAAAACCCAAGTGTTTTTTATAAAGACTATAAATATACCAACTTATCAAGCCTAGCCAGCTGTTTCATTTACCAAACAACAACTAGCATCGAACCTGTCACAATTTTATCAGGCAAAGATATCCTGAGTAGATAAAAAATTCAAAAATTATTGTCCTTTGGTTTAGGTCTGAATGTGAACAGCTCCGTGGTGAGGTAGTAGCCCGCGGCGCAGCGCAGTTGGCGAACGCCGCTCAAGTGCGGGAGCTGCGCAGGAAACTCGCCCTTGCGACCGCGGCCGCCGCCCGCCGCGCCACCATATCACCCGCAAAGGACGCCAGCCCTGACGATAAGGTCGACACTGGCATGCCCAAGACCACCGTACAGGTCAAGAACAGATTGACCGCCGATGATGTTAAAAAGAAAGTGTCGTTTAATTAGTGTCATTTATATTGTGATAGCGTGCAAGATGGAAGGTCTATTCTGTATGAAAACTCGGAACTGTTACAAAATCATGTTGATATTATAATAATAGTGTAAGAAATATTAAACTGTGATGTTTTTGTAGGAAATTCGATTAAAAAAATTTCTAACAAAGGTTTTTAATTTATTATATATTAAAAAACATTTCTTTGATTTAAGCTTTTTTTAGACATGCCTCAAATACTGGAGTTTCTATATGGTAAGTTTCTCTTCAATTTATCTGGTCAGTATTACAATACTCAATACACTCTTGTTAACTCAAACTCAAATATTGCTAAAGTTCAAGACGGAATGTTTTCTCTTGCAAGTGGAACGTTTAAGTCCTTTAGAGCATGTTCGCGAGCATGTGCCACATGACGCGAGCGGCGAGCGTGTTCGAGGGCGTCTTTCTGTGTGCGCTCGCGTAATCTCATCGCACCTACGTCTTGTACACACTTTGTAAAAGCACCTATTGAAAACAGAAAAAACGGGTAAGGTAGTGCTCACTGCGCTACTAGGAGATCAAGGTGTCATCACCTTTCGAGGTTCAGCCCTACGATACTGTAAAAATCTGAATTCGAATTCACTCAGGTCTCCGAATTCACTTCCAAAAAGCGGCATTCGCTCAATCTTGAATTGGTAATAACATTTCGTGGCATAAGTGAAGTGAGTTTCGAAATGACATAGGAATAGAATATCTGAGATCCGCCCTGCGATTCTGTAAAACTTTAAACCCAAATTCGAATCCACTCACGTGTCCGAATTCACTTCAAAAAGCGGCATCCGCTCAAACTTGAATTGGTAATAATGTTTCGTGACATAAGTGAAGTGAGTTTCGAAATGATATAGGATTAAAATATCTAAGACACGTTTAATCAATCAATTTTGTTTAGTATTTTTATACAAAAAATGGAATCAATAGGATTTCTTTACTAAATGACGTGAATTCGGACATATGAGTGAATTCGAATTCGGGTCTGGATTTTTACAGAATCGCAGGGCTGAGCGCTTAGTGTAAGTTTTTTTGACGTTTACGTTCACTTACGATCGTGAGCGTGTTAAAATTTTAGTATGGAATCCGGTACAGCGCCCCTAGCGGTAACTACCAAGTACTACAAATCTCCATACAAATTGTGAACGCGTTAGCATAAAACTTACACTTACCACTCAGACGTATAATCAATCAATTCGGTATTGTATTTTTTTTTATACAAAAATGGTACCTATCAATAGAATTTCTTCACTAAATGACGTGAATACGAATTTGGATTCGGATTTTTAAAGAATTGCTCTGCTGGTCTCGATTCACGGTCGTGTCAAAATAGAAAATGAGGTTTTCTATGCTGATGTTGCATGGTGGGTAAAATCAGTTTTCCAAAAAAGTTCATAAAAAAGATCAGGACCGGATTAGCCACGTAGTAAAAGTAGCAAATTCTGCGGGCCCCGCGCAGTTGGAGCCCGGCTATGATTCAGAGTCAATAAATTATTTTTTGAAGTCGGTGTTAAAAAATACAAGAAAATAAATAAGTCACGCTTCTGGCTACACTCATATCTATTTTTAAGTATAAACTTAAACTGACAAATAAAGCTCAAGTCACAGATTAATTCTGTTGTGTTATTCGGAAAGCAAAATTCGATTTGCCGCCCGCTCTGGCTTAATTCTGCACTGAAAAAGGTTATGAACCACAAAAAGGTTTAGAGTTTTAAAACAGAATTGGCACCATTGATATTCATTTATAATTTTGGAATCTAAGCAATGTTGTGATAATGCGTTCGAAACTAAATGCTTTTTAGGGCAACCTCGATTTCAATCCAATCCAATTACGATCTCAATTTTTCTTAAAATCTTAGCGTGTACTTTTGAAATAGACTCAATAATCACTCAATGTCAATTAGTTCATTCAATAAACGCACAATATAGAACCAATTGGCGCTAGTGTATCAGATCAAGATCGACCGCGATTGCGTTCAAAAGTAAGCATGCTGATATTAAGAAGGACCCACCTACAGTGTCCCAGCATTTGACGACGTCGGAGGGCGTCTCAGCGCTAACATAGCAATCTATAACTTTCTCCTTGCAGTCTTCACACACCGGCTCGGGACTCACCATATTAGCAGTTCGCATTTCTATGCGCGCCGCAGTTGCTTTTATATTGTTCACTGTTAAACTAGAAAGAAGAAAAATTTAAGTCACACAGTTCACAAGGAACTTTAATAGTATTCTTAAATACAACCCTGGGGTGCGACCGTTTAGCTCTAGCCAATAAAGAACGATGATTATAAATTTGACTGCAATGTCACCGAGAAAATTCTTTCAATGGAATGTTTAATACCTACGTACGTATCATTAAACTGTAATAGAAGTGCGTATGAAGGTTTTATTAGGTGCCGTTAGTCCTATTGCCTTAACAACCTACAAGAGCAATCAATTTCTAAGTATTGCAACTTTTTTGTTAGCAAATAAGTTAGTAAAGAGATCTGTCCCTATTAGACAAAATAAAAATAAACTAATCAAGTAGATAAGAAAACAACATACTAATTTTTCGGTATAGCACAATGAAATAATTTATTACACAGTTATGCCGCGATGCACTAATATAAACGCTCGCTAAAACGAATCATCAACAGACAAAAAAAGTTTACCTAATAAATTTGATTATTAGTTATACCTAGTTCCTTTGAAATCGAAGCGACATGCTAAAACATTATGAGGTCAAGTTACGCTACCACGCTATATTTTAGTATAGTTTAAGAAATAATAAATTGATAATGCATTAGTTACCCGCATTTCTCAGAATGCTTGTCATCTATACACTGAAGCTTTTCCATATATATGTGGTCTTTAAAGTCGCCACGAGGTGGTGCATCTGGCTCGGATGCCACCGCCGCGCCCCCAGCGAGGGTCGCATCTTCTACTAATCTCTCCACCTGTAATATTGGTGGTCAGCTACTCTTTTGATAATTTTGAAATAAATTCTGAACTCAAAGTCCTTATTTATAAACTCTGCAAATTGTTAATGCGCCTGACCGCCAATTTATGACGTAAATGCGTTCAAAATCAGTGCCGATAACAAATAAACACCGGTTGACGAGTAAACTTATTGAGTTAGGTTATGTTGAGATCACACATAATTTTTCTTATGTTTTTGTTGGTTTCGATTGTTATTGTTAAGTTTTGTTGTTACTTGTTATGGTTGACAAAAATTGCAACTGATATTATGAGTTTCACTATAAATAAATATAATTTCATTAATAATAATTGTTAGGTATTATAATACTTTAAAACAAATGTCATTTCCGTTCGTTATCGCGGACATATAAATTGATTCTTTTCCAAAAAATTATGCAATAAATAAAATAACTAAAAGTTATTCAATTATTATAGCAATATTTTGGGGATTATTCATAAAGATTTCAATAATTAATAAATAAATTAGTAGCTCGGTGGCGTAGTGTAGCTCGGTGGCATAGTGGATAAGCGCCGCGGCCCACGATCGTTGTCGTTAAGCAACTTTCGCAAGGGTCGGTCACGGGATGAGTGACCAAAAAATTATTATCTCGAGCTACTCCGTGCTTCGGAAGGCACGTTAAGCCGTTGGTCCCGGCTGCATTTGCAGTCGTTAATACCCTCCAATCCGCATTGGGCCAGCGTGGAGGGTCATGGCCCATCCTCCTTAACCATCCATAAGGAAGGCCTGAGTACTTGCAGTGGGGACGTAAAAGGGCTGATGATGATGATGATGATGAATAAATAATTTACATCTTGCCTTTTGTTCTATCTATACTTTTTATTTTCGTATGACGTCACGCGGATGTTATTTAGACAAGGTTCCGGTGCATTAGCAATTTATGGGACTTATATTAGTCAGTGACAACATGTTTTGCCAGGTTTCTCGCAGATTTAACGTGTGCCGAGCAGCGCCTAGGGTTGCCAGATGGTCGGGATTCGTCTGGATTGTCCAGACATTTGGTATAATGTCTAGAGTCCCGAAAAAAAACAAATATGTCCCGACAAAATTGTTAGATTCTGTAAAATCGATTTACAAGTATAAAAAATAAATAACAAACATATCATAAAAATATAATAAGTAGGTATATTAGCTGTTCAATTGTTATAAGTGCATTTCTTATTAGTACTTTTTTGTCCTGACTGTGATCCCAAAATCCCGACTTTTTCAAATTTTGTCCAGATATTTTAGTCTCGTTATCTGGCAAACCTAGCAGCGCCACAGCACTATCATCAGGGGCGGATCGTGAATTTGTGGGGCCCTGGGCTAAAACTATTTGTGGGCCTACCTAAATATGTACTAAACTAATAGCCATTTTTAACCGACTTTAAAAAGTAAGAGGTTTCTCAATTCGACCGTATACATACTTTTTTATGTTGGTTCGCGGTTAACTTCGTTTTTTAAGAACCAATTTTAATGATTTTTTTTTTATTAGACAGCTTAAGAGTCAGATGTGGTTCTATATAAATTTTATCGAAATAATAAAACAAAATATGCCTTTCACCAAATTATTTAGAAGACATGTTTATACCATTGACAATACAAAAAATGGCATATTTTTCATGCATTCAAAATCCGCATGGAGGAATTTGTATGTTCAACAAAAAAATCGATACCACTAAAAATCAGGAAAACTGTTAAAATCTATTTTCTCTAATGATGTAGATAACTATAAAGAGAAAATAGAACAATAAAATAATTAAAATTATATATTATAACTTTACAAAATTATTGGAAAAGAAATTGACAGGTTAATATAATAGATTATAAAGCAACCTTCTGCATTTTTGTACTGCAAATTCCTCAATTTGCTCATCACATTATAAGTCCTTCGTTAAGTCACTATTTATGGAAAGAACTGATAGATGAGTAAGTCGATGGTTTGACAATGTTGTCCTATATTTATTTTCTATATAAGTCATCCTCCAAGAGAAAGAACGCTCCGCTTCACAGCTAGTGATTGGCAAAGATAAAAAAATCTTTAATATGATATAGCAATTTGGGAAAACATCACAAAGTTTCTTTTCATAAATTATCATAAAAATTTCATCGCAAAAAGTGTAAGACTCTGGTTTACACTAAAGTAAGTAAGAGTTTAACTGAACGCACACATTTACTAAATGCTCGTCTACGTCATCTGGATAATAATCAATAATATTACGTAAACTTTCCTGATCTACGTTTTCCATATTTTTATCTTGCAAATCTATTAAAAATTTAAATTTCTTGCTATATGTCTCATAGACTAGACTTCTTTTATTTAAATCCATAATCAACTTATCCAACGCAACATTTAGTGTGTCTCTTTTAAATTTTTCTGCGCCGTAAACTGCGAATTTATCTGAAGACTTATCTGAAAATTTTGGAGTTATGCGTCTCTTGTTTTTGTCATTGTAGTCTTTTTCCACACTAGTACTTAATTTTAGCTTTAGCTTTCTCTTCATATTCTTTTAGCTTCTGATCTGATTATTGTTTACGAAGTCTTTTAATGACACTATTAACTTGTTACCTTCACAAATATCTGAACAAGGGCTTTGTATTTTTTTATTAACTGAATGAAATCTCTCCAAAATTTCTTCCCAAAAAATAATCATAATTGCAGTATTAAGTTTCGCCATTTTATTGAATAAATTTTGTGCTTCTTTTCGGAAATCGACTTTCTCATTCTCATTTTCGCTGAAACTTTTCATAATTACATCATAATAATTTTTTAAAGCTTTGACAGCATCGTAGTTACAAGACCATCTGGTCTGACTTAAACTTTTTAAAGTAAATTTGATTTTTGTTTTGCGATTTAACAGTTCCCACCTATGAGTCGAAGAAGAGAATAAAACGTATATCTTTGCACTACTCCAAAAAAGTTTACAATTTCGATTGCTACCTTAACAGATTCTTCACCAACTAAGTTAAGAAAATGCGCAGCACATGGCACATAATCCGCGTATTTGTTCTTTTATTTTAGTAATGCTTGTACAACATTGTAGTGACCCGCCATATTTTTCAATGGTAGTCCATTTGTTTCTAAAAATGCTTGTAGAATATTAAATAAATGTAAGCCAGTATGGCCACTAATTTTAATGAAGGAAACACATCTTTCATGTACTTTTACCCGAAAACAGTATCGTAGTACAATAGCAAGTTGATCATTGTGAGACAGATCTGGAGTAGAATCCATAACGATTGAATAATACTTTGTGTCGTCGTTATTTATTTGAGTTATAATTTGTTTAATTATATGTCGGCCCATAATCTCGATTATTTCTTCGTATACTGTTTTCGATAAGTAACGATATTATCGGTTTTGGGCGTAGCTCTCGCTGTTCAATGTGTTCACGAATGAATGGATCAAACTCTGCTAATAGCTCTAGAGCACCCACAAAATTGCTATTATGCGGAGAACCAAATTCTTCCTCGGAACCTCTAAATGGTAGGCCCCTGATACTTAAAAATTTTATCACTGCAATAACCCGTTTTAGAACATTGTGATAAAATTTTTTTTCTTTTTTAACCCTTAAATGCATGATTTTTGTGATTTCAATGAAATAAATATATTGTATTGAGGGTTAAGTGTATTTTCATGGAAAAATAGAAAAAAAAATAAAAATGAATATTTTCATGTTTTTTTTATTAATAAAAGGTATGTATCAAAAATGATACACTATGCATTATTGACCAAAATATTATTACGTTTTTAGTATTAGTAATTAGTAAAGAAGTATGGTGATACAAGTATATAATATCAATTTTAGCCAATAATTACGTTTAATTACTGTGAAACAATAAAAAACAGTTAGAATTCTTTTTAGAGCATAAGAATATGTCGCATTTTGAGCATTTAATGTAACTCAAAAGGTTACATTCTGGATACTGACAACGCCTTCTCTTGTCCGTTCTAATTTGATCGTGCCCAATTCTATCCAATCGTACGTCTTTAGCAGGCATAGGTGGTAAGCGGGCACTCTTTTTCTTTTTGCTGATAGCATCTTCAATGCTTGAACTGGGTCTTCCCCTTTTATTTTCTCGTGGCGCTCCATACTTGCAAAGCGCTTCGGCCTAGTCCGCGCGGAATTCTGATAACTCCATAAGAGTTTTAGGGTTGACTCCCTTCTGTTTGTTGACTTTTAGATAAAGGACCCAAGAATTAATTATAGTAATATCCAGTAGATGGTAAAAAATTCTCAAATACCATTTTCTAGTCTTCATATGGTTGCGCCCTTATCGCCCTAAGAAACTGTCCATAAGATCGACACCACCCATGTGTGAATTATACTCTCTTATAACTCTTGGACATGGAATAGGCACTCGTCTTTTTTCTTTTTGTCGTATCTCTCAATAGTTTCTACTGGCTCAGCTCCAACATATGTGGACAACAGTATGACCTGTTTATTATCTTTCCAGCTCACAGCAGTGACTGGGGTTCCCTCATAGGTAGACACATTCTCCACGTAATGTCCCCTCGGTATGTCGTTTTTCATAATTTCCGTTTTATGTGGTAGTTTACAATTTTTGCCCGGTCTATTTCGTTGGACAGTGCCGAGGCAGTAAATACCTTGCTGAGCGAAATAATGCATAAGAAGTAAGTTGGTATAAAAATTATCGAATTAGATAATATGATTGCGATTTCTCGGCACTCCTCGTGTAAGTCTCACCACAGTATCAGAAACTGCACCAAGTTCAGGCTCAGTTGGAAGACGATCATGGATTATTTTTCCTGAATATATTTCAAACTGATAAGCAAATCCTTGTAAGCAACATAAAACAAATAATTTGAAGCCCCATTTATGAGGTTTGTTCGGCAAATATTGTTTCAAAAAGTGGCCCATCTTAGTAGCACACATCTGTTCATCTAGTGATAATCTTTGTTCGAAAGGCAAAGAACCAAATTTTTCATTTAGGTGATCGATAACGGGTCTTAATTTATGCAATCTATCGTGGTTGGGGTGGCCTGTGGGCAAATGCTTATCATTATCATTAAAATGCAGGAAACTCCTTATCTTCTCAAATCTGTTTAGTGGCATTGTTTCTGCTATAGGGGTGAAAGAATGTTTCGTATTCCATTATGAACGTATACTTGGGTATCGAAAGACAGACATATATGTGAGAATCCCAAAATATTGTCGCAATTCGGTAATAGTAATAATCTCTGGCCGAGATGGATTTTTTTGAACACTATATTGATTGCTTTCTTGTACTATACTTTCCAAAAATTCTGTGTTAAAAAAGTAGGAGAAAAACTGGAATGGTGTTTCTAAATTAGCAATGTCAGATGAAAAAGGATTATTGTCTTCAAATTTAATTTTATTCTCGTCAAATTGAAATTTTTGGGTTTTCCATATAATTTGTCGGACGTTACGACTTGTAGCAGTCGTAGCTGGAGTACTTGCAGAAGGAGTTGGGCCGGGTCCATCATCGTATACTTTAGGGGGATCTGAGCTATCCTCATTACCTGTATCCTCATGTATTGACGAACCTTCCTCTAATACATGTTGGAGCTGTTCTCTCGTAGGATAGAAGTCCATCAAATCATCTCCTTCCGACTCATAATCATCGTCGGATATATCCCCCGCTTCCAACCTCCGAAGTATATCTTCTATCCCATTGTCTTTGCAGTTTTTAGGCGACATCGCTGTAAAAAACATATAAAAACATGCAACCACCACCAAATTGCCGCACAAAACAATATAAGAATATTTATGCCGTTAGTGCATAATGTATCATTTTTGAAACGATACATTTTTAGGGAAAAAACATGTTGAATCAAAGATATTAGTAAAAAGTAAACACATAAACAGAAAATATGATTACTTACCGATACAATATATTTTATTTGCAGAGAAAACTTCAATTTAAATATTTTTTATCACTATTGATATTTCTGACAAATTTGCCGGTCGCGCCAACGTTTGTACGTAGTTCGAAAATGACGTTTCAATTTCGCGCGTTATGAAAACAACTGCCGTTTTTAAATATTCATAAGAACGTATGGGTCTAAGGAATCTACTCCGATACAGCCAAATCAAAATTTATGAATATGTACGTTTATAGACGACCTTAAAGTTGACGTTTCATTTTTGATACGCTATGCATTTAAGGGTTAAATTAGTCCTGAAACTGTTTGTCTTAAACATACCTTTTTTTTCGTGTTAACCACACTAACATTGATTTCTTATGTTTATTAGAATTTTCGTGATTTTCTAAACAACTTCCTATATGTTTCCAATCAGAAAAGCTGGGGGCCCTTTATATCCATGGGGCCCTGGGCTACAGCCCAAAAAGCCCATATGTAGATCCGCCCCTGACTATCATAGAAATTTTGAAAAAAGTTTTCCAGATGATTATTTCCTCATCTATTCGTCAGTCTGGGACATATCTTTATTATATGCGCGTTGATATTCCGACTCTTACCTGACCGGTTTTTTTTACAAATAAGTATTATTAATTGGTCTCCTCTTAGGACCTCATGGAGATAAGTGTTTATAAACACTGGCACGTCATTTTATAGGTATGACTTACATAACAATTAGTAAGGTCGCAAAGTTTACGTTTGTGTACTTATTCTATATTTTTTTTATGGTTGTAAATTGTCTGACTTACATTACCTATTCAATAATAAAGGTGCCGAATTTTATTGCCGGTTTAAAATTTCATAAGAGCTTATTAAATTTAATAATCTTCGGTTAAAATTATCGTTCCGTCAAATAAGGAAGATTAGCTATTTAGATCGGTCTACAATTTTAGCTATTAAATGAAATCATGGCAATAATTCTTTGATGAGATCAATATTAGGCTCATGATTTCTTCGTATTTAGAATTAATCATAATTTTTGACCTTTAAAACACGACGTGATGACACAATAAAAAATTACCGTATTATTTTGCGGTTCTTCAAGATGTTGCTTTAGTTAAATTTATTATTCAAGGGAGCCGATTTTTATCAGGATAAAATAGTAATTTTATATGAATAAACAACGCTTATGGTGATACCATCATTTTTATTTAGGCAGTGACCTTACTACCGTTTGAGGTCCGGGTACCACAGAAATATACTAGATTTATTTCTGTGCCGGGTACTATAATAGATGTCGGGGTCTTCCTACTGTCACGGTCCGCCCTTCTTTCATAGAACTCACGAGATTTTCTCTCGTCACTCTATTGTTACACTTAGATATTTTTTACTTTTAAATCTAGTTAGTAGACTAGATTTTTCTCAACTTGTCTGATTGTAAAGATAATTCAGTGCTCTATAAAGAATGTGATTGGTGGTGTGAGATGTTTAAGTATATAAAATTTTAAAGAACTAATAAAGAGTTATAAAATTAATCTTAGACATCTCTATAATTTCCATCCATTCAGCCAATTTATTCAAATTTAGTAAATGTGCTTATCAAATGCAAAAATATCTTCTAAGCAGTTATAAAATATTTTCATTTATGCATCATACGTATTTAGATTTTCCATTCTTTTCTTATCTTATTTCACCATTGAGACGCGAGGCCGCGAGGCCACGGGCGGTGACTCCTATTGCCTACGCCATAAGCCTCCCTTGGCTACTAGGCACTTACATATTTTATTTTGTACAATATGAAAGTTCTTGTATTCTTTAAATACATTATACCTACTAAGAAATCTCCGATCTGATCCAACGGTACTTCAATGAATCGAGACCAAAAAGGTTTGGAAGAATCGTGCAAGGAATCGTGAGATACTCGATTACTGGTTTAAGTGATATATGCGTTTATGACCTTTGAAGAAAAATATAAACGAGACGTAGGAAAACAAATCCTACAACGTAGAACATAGAGCCTATATATAACGTAAATATGTTAAAAAAATAATAAACAATGAAAAAATCAAACCCAAAATTCGTTGTATTTGTGGAACCGATTGAATTTTATTTAGGTACAACTCGAGAGTCCAATTACTTGCCTCAAGCTTTGAGGACAACGATAAGTGAATGTGAAATAATAATAAATACTTAAATATCAATATCGAGAGCGTTGTGGTTAGTGTGCGCATTCTGTCTTTGATCGTGGAAGTTAAGCAACATTTTTGCTTAGACCAACCATCGGTTGGCTGTCCAAGATTTAAGTAGTCGTTTACAAGACGCATTAAAAAAAAAATTGTGAACCCTAGAAGTGTAATTTTTTCTATTCATAATTCATATTGTGGTCTCGTGGAAGAAATAAATGACTAATAAAATAAAATAACTTAAATACCCAAGCCTTTTAATTTTTTTTTTAATTCATGGCAAGTACATAATGCGATTCTTTCGATCATAAATTGAGCGCAGTATCCTTATCTCAATATAAGTATTTTATTTATTGAATAAATATGTTTAAATTGTTCATGTAATAAAGTTACACTTATTTGAACCAGAAATGTTATTTATACTACTATACGTTTAAACTTACCTAAAATTCGTGATCATGTTCTACAAAATTCTAGGCTACCTTTCCGCCAGTGGCTTCGCCCACGTGGTTAATTCAATTTTGAAATATTTTTCATTACCTTCTCTACTCCTATTAATCATAACGTGATAAAATATAATTATACCATATAGCCATCCTCAAGTAATGGACTATTTAACACAAAAGATATACCTACATATGATTTTCAATTTGAAAGACTAGTTCCTGAGATAAGCGCGTTCAGTTAAACAAACAAATACACAAGCTCTTTAAAAGTCTTTCGAAGTTTTATAATATTAATATGTACTATATTCAACCGATTAGTCTTTACGGAGCCTGCAAAACT